CAAAACAAATGATCAAATACACGAAAAACAACAACCAACAACAAACAGAAACAGATTCATAAATGTAGAGAGTAAACTGGCAGTTGCCAGAGGGGAAGGGTGGGTGGGTGTGGAATAGGCCACATAGATGAAGGGGATTAAGAGGTACAAAATTCCAATTACAAAGTAAATAAGTCATGGGTATGGAAGGTACAGCATAGGGAATATAGTCAATAATATTGTAATAACTTTGTATGGAGATAGGTGGTAACTATACTTATCATGGTGAGCATTTCACAATGTATATAATTGTCGAATCATATTTGTACATCTGAAACTAGTATCATATGTCAATTATATTTCAATTACAAAATTTTAGAAATAGTGAATCAGAGCTCCCTTGAGTCTCCCATGCTCAGCACAAGGGCAGCCCTTCCCATCCACTCATGTCCCTGAGCTTCTGGGAGGACTGGGCCATCTCTTTTATTTGTTTATTCCCCATGGCACTCACCTCAATCAATATTTTACAGTAAGGTGCTCGAAGTGTTTTCGTGAATTGAATTGAAGGCAACAACAAGGATCTGTATTTGGTTGAACTCCATTTGTAGATCCCAAAAGGTATGGCAACTTGGGCAGATTTCATAGTTTAGCTGGAGTGGTCTGTCAATGGGGAGCCCATGAGACTGGCTACACGCAGCCTGGAATTTTCCAGATGGCCTTGGATTGAAATAATCTATCTTGCTGTACAAATCTTATACCGGAAGTTCTTAATTTGGGACTTGAAAAATGTGATTGCTGTGTCTGTTGGACATCCAGAATAACAATAATAACAATAATAATGCCACCCAATAAAGTGAACATTTGTTAAGTGCCAAGCATGGAGCCAAGTAAGCACTCTTCCATGTAGCATGATTACCAAGGGACCAGGTCTGTGAGAGCTTAGGCAGTATCTTGATTTATGGCCTTGTCATCCATACCTTTGTCCTAAAGAGTTTTCAGCATGCTTGAGGTTCTTCGTCACGGGCTCAGGATGGGTCTGACCTGATGGAGGCGGATGCAGGGGCCAAGTCTGCTGAGAGCTGCAACAGAAGTTCCCTATATGGACCTGTTTTTGTGTTTATGGATCATCCGTGGCGACTGTCAGCAGTTTTAATGTAGACAACAATTTGAGGCCATCCTAACCACCAGCTTTACTTCTTCCAAGGAGGCCTGGGGCCTTTTCCCAGTGATGATTATCCTTCTTTTCTAGAAATTCAATGGACCTTGTTTCAAACTTAGAATTATGAAGTACAAGCTTTATATAAGAATAGAATATTCTTCTTTGTTTTTGTTTTTCTTTTAAGAATAGAATATTCTTTGTAGTTTCCAGGAACATGCACTATTCTACTGTATGTTAAATCATAAAGCTAGGGCAGAGAACATTTAAAACTTGGTGTTTATAATCTCTCCTCGCATGTTCTCCTCCCACTCTTCTTCCCTCATATCCCTCAAAGCCCAACTATTTTGCTAACACTCCATCAGGTATGTCCTATGACCTGCAAAATCTATTAATAGGTGAGAAAAAAATTAACTAGTGCAGGCAAAAAAGTTGATCCCAAATCTTGAACATTTTCTATCGGAGGCAATGAAAATGGATTGGGCAACAAAGTTGAATCCTTTATCTTTCTTCTCCCATGCCACTAATTCTCTTTCTAGCAAATCAGATCAGTGGGCTGAAGGGACTGGGGGAGGATGAGGATGGTCTGATGGAGGCGGAGCCCTCACCTCTCCAAGCTATGGGCATCACAGAACCAAGGGTAAAGGACAGGAGAGATGGCAGGACGATCAACATAATTTCATCTCCTTGGACATCAGAAGGGATAGGATCGGTGGGTAATTCCTAGAGGTCCTGCTGATCCACAGGGCACAATACACAGGGCAAAGATTTTTGAGATTACCTGAAGCTCTAAAAATGTGCAGGTGATACTGGACCCTTTAAATTTTCTTATTTTGGTAAAATATACACCCCATCAAATTTAACATCAGAACATTTGAAAGCATACACTTCCGTTGCATTAACTCCATTTCTGTGTTGTGAATCACCACCATCCATCTCCAGAATTTTTTCCTCTTCCCAAACTGAAACTCTGTCCCCCTTGAATACTAACTCACCATTCTCCCCTCTGCCCAGCCCCTGACAACCACCATTCTATTTTCTGCCTCTATGAATTTGGTGCCTCTAGGTACCTCATGTAACTGGAATTATACAGTATTTGTCATTTTGGGATGGGCTTATTTCACTTAGTATCATGTCCTCAAGGTTCACCCGTGTTGTAGTATGAGTCAGAACTTCCTTCCTTTTTAAAGCCGAATAATATTCCAGTGTATGTGTATAGCACATTTTGTTTATCCGTTCATCCATGGACACTTGGGTTGTTTCCACCTTTTGGCAATTATGAATAATGCCACTATGAACATGGGTGTACAGCTATCTGTTTGAGTCCCTGCTTTCAATTCTTGTGGCTATAGACCCAGAAGTGGACTTGCTGGATCACATGGCAATTCTGTGTTTAATTTTTTGAGGAACCGCCATATTGTTCTCTGTAGAGCCTGCACCATTCTGATGATCACGGTAGTGCAGATCCTCATAGGAGGCGAACCTGGAGAAGACGTGAACTTTATCTTTGATCCCCGTGTCCCGTATCTTTGACTTTTTAGTGCTGGGGAGTGTTAGCATGCCTCTGCTTAGGTTCCCCACCTGCAGAAGGAAGATGGCAATTACTCTTCCTCTCAGGAAAACGAGGGACTATGGGAAGTATTACTGAGATTGGCTAAGAGAAGAAATTTGGTTCAAAATACCTTGAGTTCTAGGGCCAGAGCCTGTGCCCATGCCCTTCCTTTCTCCAGCCCTCCTTCCACTTGCACAGGTCAGGGGTGGTGGCGGTTGGGCTGGAGAGGGTCTTATATCCTGCTTATCACACGTGGATTATCAAGGACCTTCTGTGAGGCCCTGGTATAAAGGACCATCCTCAGCGACCAGACCATTGTGCCTGCATTTCTGACTCTTGTTTCAACTTGCCGTGTTCCCTTTCCCTTGGTGTGGGATGGAGTTCCATAGAGAGACTGTCCACTGAAGGACTGGTTCATCGAAATCCAATCAAGATTTCAGGAAGAACGTGATGGCTCCATTCTTTCCCTCTGTCTCTCCCTTCTCGTCCCCTGGTCAGGTCTTATTCAGGATGTCAAAAGCTTGGCCATTTCTAGAACACATTTTCACTCTCTGATCCACATCAGGGCTTGTCGAAAGAGGGAAGGCCCCATACTGGGCTGTCATCGAGGAACAGAATTGGTGTCCTGTCCTTGGGAAGGCTGCCCAAGGCTGGATCTCACCCCTCTGGCACTGTGGACAGGCTGGCCTTTCGGGGAGCTCCTGCCCGAGCTGCTGTGGTGTCCTCGGAAGGAGGCGGGGTGCTGTGGAGAAACAGGGAAGCAGAAGGTACTGATGCTCCAGCCGGAACTCTGGCAGTGACTCGGTCACAGCTCAAGGAGGGGTCACTCCCGAGCAGCTCTGCTGTATTTTTGGCCATGATGCTGGCAGCGGGGAACCGTCTACACAAAGCCTCTTGTCCGTGTAGGATCAGAAACGGGGAGCAAGGACTCCTCGAGGCTCACTGGAAGGTGTCTCAGAAACAAGGTCACACCTGTATCTGCCCGCAAAGATTTTCCTCTGTTTCCAAAGCATCAGCTGGTAAAATTAATTAATCTTCAGTGGCCCTGTCCTCTGAATGATGGCTGGAAGGCAGAAGGGAGTTCCACGGGCTGTGCCCCCCAGCCCCGCCTCCTGGCCAGGCCAGGCCTCCCGGGCTCGGCCCCTCGGAGATGACTCTCCCTCACTGGAGTGAGGCCCCGCGGCAGCCCGGGATCCAGCTGCCTTGTTCACGGCTGCTTCCTCGGCACCTGGAACAGTGCCAGGCCCAGGAGGCACTCAGTATTCGTAGAATGAATGAATCCACAGCTGAAATCTGGCCTGGGCTGGAGAATGGGCCGGCCTCCTGTTCTAGAGACAGACACTGCTGGAGAAGGAGCTGCCACGGAGAAGCGCTTTGCAGTTCCATTCAGAGAAGGCCGTGGACTGGAGATAACCAGTGTTATTATTCCCTCCGGTCCTTCTGTACCTGAGTCATCACTACCCTTAGACACAGGAGGAAGCAAAATATTGCAGGCCTTCTATGGCCTTCGGGGGAGGGGGGTGGGGGGAGTGGGGGAGAGTATTACAATGTGCTAGGTAAGGCTGTCACTTTCTGGGTATGGGAAGGGGGGTCCCCTTTGAGGCAAATTTGCGTATATTTGCATAGCTGTGCCCACCTACACCCTAACCTGCAAAGGGACACCCAGCTCTTCCCACCTATAAACAGACTAATCCCCCTGCTTTCTCCTTTGCAGGATGTGCTGAATCAAAATTTAACTGCCAATGTTCTAGAAATCTTGGGGGGGGGGGGACACAAAATGAACATGCCATTTACATTTTAAATTTTAAAAATGTCACTTTTAGTTTACATTTTTTTATAAGTAGGAGTATATTTTGAAGACTTTCCAGGAGATCAGACGAGAGACAGGGAAATAGTCAAAGGTCAAATCGATCCTGAATCTTCAGTTGCAAAGAGGATTGGATCTCCTGTTTTTTTCCTGTATTTGTGTGCGTGCAGTAGGGCTCCTAACCTGATCCTAATAAGAAGGCTCGGAGAAATTGGGTCTCTTCATTTTTCAAGATCATCACACATTTTCCGAGGGGAAAATGGACTCTCACTTTGGAAAACATAAAACCATGTTTGCTTTATGTCCCTTAGAAAACAGCTCCTCGCGTCGGGCGGAGGCAGGCAGGCAGGCAGACAGGCGGGCTGGGCGCTGGAAGCCGGAGCCCAGGGCTGCAGCGTGTTGTGTAACCCGCCTGAGAATCACGTTGCACTGACGAGATCCGCAGGCTTTTAGTGCAATAATAAGCTTGATCTTTTTTATTCAAATACAAGGAACAACCACAGCCAGCTCCAAGTCACGTGGCCCGGTCACATGGTGCCGAGACCCAGAGACCGGCTGGCAGTCATTAACCAATGCTTACTCCCAGGGAGAAAATGCAGGTTTTAAAGCCCCGAGCTCTGTTTTTGTAAAAGCAGCAGCCCTAGAAGAGAAGGTATACATGGTGGGTGGGGTGTCTGGAGCGTGCTGAGGGCTTTCCAAGGAAAGGGAAAGAGGCACCAAGCCCTCCCCGGTGTTGTGCGGCTCCCCCCGGACAAACTTGCCCGGGGTCAGCCCCTGTCCCCAACCCGGAGGAGCCGCGGGGCTGAGCATCCCGGGCGGCGCGCGGAGGGAGGGGCGGGCAGACTGGGCGCGGGGCCCGGGCATTTGCGTAATGGAGGACACGGTTCTGAAATGAGCAGAAGGCTCCATTTGCTCCCCTTTGTGAACCTCGTGCCTTCTAGGGGTCGGCGGAGTTCGGGTAGGGGGTGTGGGGTGGGCAAGGGCAGGGGGAGCTTGTGGGCGCGTCTGGCGTTTTCATTAAAATGAAAACCAGCCTCCAGAATGTGGTTCCTTTAAGTCTTCCTGTGGTAAGAACAGAAACTGCAAGGGCTCTGCCTACCTGAATGTTTCCTTGTTCAGTCGTTTGAATTTAGAAAGAAGTTCTTTCACTTTCTCCAACTTGTATTGCGTTCCTTTGTGCTTTCAAAAACTAATTAGCCGGCGGAGTTTGTTTGATTTGGGTGTAGAAGCGACCACAGTGAGCGTGAAGAGAGTTTAGAATCTCTTGCTGGAGGGTAGGGATAGATAAAGTACAGATAAAAGACTGGCAGAAACTGGCTTTTTTTTTATTATTATTATTTTTTAAGCTAGGTGTGTTTTATTTCACATGATTAAAAAAAGTACTTTCCCCAAAACACCATGCAATATGGACTCAGCCTGGCGAGAAAATCCACCAATATAGTGTGGAGACTTATATACTTACTTCATTTCAATCTTTTCAGAAAGAACAGATATGTAAGGAATTTCCAGTTTTCCAGGTTCACTGTCTGAAATATAATTTCAGGAAATTTAGTTTGTTAGGGAGTTCAGTTGTCTCTGTTCTCACCTTTTCCCCCACTCTACCCTCTTGAAAAAGATAAAAGTATGTGACTTTAAGGGATGGGCCCAGGTTTTGTAGGGCCTGAAGCTTAACAATCCAAGAGGCCCTTTTGAAGAGGATATAAAATTACATGTACAAAATTAGGTATTAAAGTATCCCCAAATTCAGAAAAATATGTATTATTCGCTTACCACATCTCTGATATCCTTTTTGTCCTCTCTTTTGGGGGGCATGTTTCTTAGTCGGCCTCAAATTTCATCTTGACCAGTTATCAATTTTAAATGTGCCTATAGTTGTACAAGCTTGATGGTTGGAAACATTTTTCCAGGCCAGCTTCTGATGAGTCTGTTCTGGCTCTGTCTGTCCCACATCTTGATTTTCCTCCGCCGGCCCACACTACCTCCCGTGCCAGACACTGCAGGACACCCTCATCCTGCGATATGACCTCTGGATCCGAGCCTTTGCATCTCCACGCCGGGTGGGTCAGCCCAGTGGGCCATAGGAATATTGCTGGAAACCTTCCCTACTTGAGAACAGCCGGCAGTAACTAAACTGTCCATATGGTTTATAAATTTATAAAAATCTCTTAACCTCAAGTAAAGGTATCTCTGATTCCAGTTCCTTTTAGCCAGATCCCAAAAATGCCCATGGCTGCTCCAAAGTCATCCAAAAGGATGGGAAATGTGGCCCAAAGGAAGTCAGAGTACAAAGAGGCAGCGGTCTTAAGCAATCAAAGCAATCAAGGTCAGAGTATCTTACCACCGCCAAGTTTACAAAAGCAAATGGCCATGAATGTGTTGCTGGGGCTCCTGCGTGGGTGAGAGGCTTGGAGATTCCTTTTCATCAGCTTCGAGGTAAATCTGTTTCTGGTGACCCTGGGTGCATCATACGTACATCTCAGGGAGTCATTTTCTGGGTCCCAGAAGCAAAGATCCTCTTGTGTGAGGCAAGCTTGCTTATCTGGACATCTCGTGGGCATGATTTGTCAAAGTAAATTCCATTAATAAAAAGCTTCTGTTGGGCTCTGACTCAGCCCCTCGCCCGTTGCCTTCACCCAACCAGCCTCTCAGGGAAAACCGATCGCCCTCTCCACACGTGCGAGGGAAGGGAGGAGGGGAGGAGCTGGGCCAGGGCATTTATTCCGTGTATGTTTATTCCGTGTATGTTTGTTTCGCGTGTTTTCCGTGCCCAGCCCTACCGAGTGCTTTTGTCACACGCATCACACCCTGTACTTCCCGGGACGACCCTGTGGAGTGGCTGCGACGAGTCCTGCTCTGCAGATGAGACATGGAGGCACAGGGAGAGGGCTTTCTGCCTGCAGTCACTTGGCGACAGCATTTCCAAGCGGCACCCCGGAACCCGGGCTGGCTGACTCCCCAGGCTGGTTCTTTCGTGACGGAACTCCGACCTTAAACTTTTCATGAAGTGAATGCAGCACACGTCTTGTTTTAGTTTCTCTGGTGGAGCTGACTTTATTTGCAGCAGTATCCGGTTATAGCTCCCCTTCCTTTGCGTCCGTTCTTGCCGAGCATGATCTCACTGCCTGCTAAAATAATTAGGGAGTGGAGCCAACGGGATTCCTTGACCAGCTTTAAAGTTCCTCTCTTCCCCTCTGATGCTGATGTTCTAGGGATTTGCTCCTGAAATGTGCCACCCGCCCTTACGCTGCCCATCCAAAAGAGTCACCTTGTTGAATCACTTGCCTAGCTTGTCAGGACAGTATTTTGAATTTGGAGTGGCTTGCCAACGTGCTGTTTATGGGGGAAAGGAGGCTGTCAGTTCAGACAATCCGCAAGTGCGCTAATTAGCTGGATGGAAAAGCAGGCGGTAGCATCTCCCCTGCAGATGAGAGAACCCATCTGATCCAGTTTCCTGACTGCGGTAGCAGTGATTTTTTTCCTCCCAGGCCAGGCTGGGGACCGGGGCTCCAAAGCATTACGGACTCCTTTAGCTCGGGGTCTCTCCCCTTCTACACCACTGACCTCTGGAGCTGGATTGGAGCTGGGTGGGCTGGGGGTGGGGGGGTGGGGGGAGCTGGCTCCTGCCTTGTAGGATGTTTAGTAGCGTCCTTGGCTGCTATGGAACGCTAACGACCCCTCCCCCCCCAGCTGTGGTAATCAGTAATATCTTCACACATTGCCAGATGTCCCTGGGGTGGGGGCAACATTGCCCCTGGTTGAGAGCCACTTCTTGAGCCCTGTCAACAGACGGCCACCAACAGCTTCCAGTTGTGTTGATTCTTAAGGTGTGGGGGCAGGGGACAGAGTGGCTTTTGGCTCTCATGGGGCGGTGACTCACAGTGGGAATGTTCTAAGATAGACACAGGGCTCACGGCGCCAGCCCTCCTGCATGAGACTATTGTGAGGGAAAAGGTAAAACCTTTGAGGATAGAAGCGCGCTCATTTCTCCAGTCAATTAGCCTAACTGACGTTGAGGTGGTTACCTGGGTAGTTAAGAGTTCTGTGGTCAGAGGGCGCCTGGGTGGCTCAGTTGGTTAAGCGACTGCCTTCGGCTCAGGTCATGATCTTGGAGTCCCGGGATCGAGTCCCGCATTGGGCTCCCTGCTCAGCAGGGAGTCTGCTTCTCCCTCTGACCCTCCCCCCTCTCATGTGCTCTCTTTCTCATTCTCTCTCTCTCAAATAAATAAATAAAATCTTAAAAAAAAAAAAAAAAGAGTTCTGTGAATGCAGAATCTGTTTCTGGTGACCCTGGTTTGAATCCCAGCTTTGCTCTTAATTAGCAGTGGGATTTTGGATAAGTGACTTTACCTACCCGTGTTTCGGTTTCCTTATTTGCAATATGGGAATGAGAATATCCGTATCGTAGAGTCGTTTAAAGAATTCCGTGAGATAATGCATGTGCTTGATGCATAGTAAGTACTTAACCCATGTAACCCACTTTTAAATTTCTGGACCAATCTTTGATGATGATGATGATTGTTTTGTTTTAATGTAGATAAGTATGTCTCTGCCCAGATTCTCCAGATAATTGTGTCAACCTCCTGCTTGGTGATTCTGGAAACAGTGTACCAAGTAGCAACTTTAGAGTCTCCTTCTTGCTCTTTTTTTTTTTTAATTTAATTAATTAATTAATTTATTTTTAAGATTTTATTTATTTATTTGAGAGAGAGAGAATGAGACAGAGAGAACACATGAGAGGGGATAGGGTCAGAGGACGAAGCAGACTCCCTGCCAAGCAGGGAGCCCAATGCGGGACTCGATCCAGGGACTCCAGGATCATGACCTGAGCTGAAGGCAGTCGCTTAACCAACTGAGCCACCCAGGCGCCCTTATTTTTTTATTTTAAGTAGGCTCCACACCCAACATGGGGCTTGAACTCACAACCCCAAGAACATCCTTCTTGCTCTTTATGGGAAGTACAGATGCTCTCTCCTTGAGATCGTCCATGGTTATCAACAAAGCTCTGCTGTCCTGAGAAAGTTCTGCTCACCACCCTATCAGGATAAGCCTCTTGGTCTACAATGTGCTTGCTCAGCTCATGCTGAGCTTGAGGTGTTTTGCAAACATTTTTAACCCCATCTTGTCCATGCAAGGATTTACTAATATATACTAATATATATATAATAACGTATACTATATATAAAATATAATAATATATACTAATACATACTATAATTGCTAATATATATACATATATATTCAATTCCAAACGAGATAATTAAAAAAAAAGGAAATCAGTGAAAAATCATGAATGTTGCCCTTGTGTATGGACTGAGTCAACGTTAGAGAAGGTTCGAAAGGACAAAGGGTAATTGTATAATATATAAAAGCTGCCTTGCTTCTTTGGTCAATAATCAGCAAGAGATAGGACAAGCAATAGACAGAAACGAAAGGGTTCAGAGTGTCACAGCTCGGAGGCTCACATCAACAAAGAGTCTACCAGCCTCTGTCAGGAGCGTGCCAGGAGTTTGAAGACACAGAGGCTGGAGTGATGGTGTGCGTGCTGGAGGCCATGGATGTTTCCTCTGTACAAGGCCCCCTTTGAGTGGGCCTGACTTCAAAGTACAGCGGGCTGGTGGAGATGAAGTTAAAGAGAGTCTTACAATATTTGCAGATACTCTCTCTCTCAATGTGTTTTCAGTGCAGAAAAAAGACCCAAATTTATTGGGGGAAACACGCCCGAGAGAACATGTATCAGTGAGGAGGAGGAGCATGGGCTTGAGTTTAAAACACTCCTGGTTTGATGGACATCAATCTGAGGGCTGCCGGTGGAAACCCCTCCTAGGTAACTGGGATGACAAAGTGCGGTCAGAACAGCCTTTCAGGACCTGACCTGCTTCTACATGGAGGAGCTTCTGAACATGAAGAATCTTGCAACTGCCTGGCAGCCTGTCGTTATTGCCCCGCACATGTGATGTGTAAGCACAGATCTGTAAACGTGGGGATCGGTCTTACAATTCCGAGGGCACGAACAGATGGTATAGTTACAACCAAGACTAGATCCTTCTGCAGTCTTTCGGACACAAGGAAAGAGTGACTTCCTTGGAGGTTGGAGCTCTGCAGAGCGGGAGCCGAAAGCAGCCTAGACATGCACAGGAGTGGGGCTCCTGGGTGGCGCAGTGAGTTGAGCGTCTGACTTGTGATTTCGGCTCAGGAAGGGATCTCAGTGTCCTGGGAATCAAGCCCCGTAGCCCCGTGTTGGGCTCCTGGCTCAGCGGGGAGTCTGCTTGTCTCCCTCTGCCTCTGCCCCGCCCCCTGCTCACGTGAGCTTTTTCTCTTTCTCTCTCTAAAATAAATAAATAAATCTTTAAAAAATTTTTATTTATTTTTAAAATATTTTATTTATTCGAGAGAGAGAGAGAGCACAAGCAGGGCGAGGGGCAGAGGGAGAAGCAGATTGCCCAGGGAGCAGGGAGCCCCATTTGGGGCTCGACCCCAGGGCCCTGGGATCATGACCTGAGCCAAAGGCAGACGCTTAACGACTGAGCCACCCAGGTGCGCCTTAAAAACTTTTTTAAAAAGAGGCACACAGGAAAGCCGGTTCCATCCCAGGGGCTATTTGCTTCCCTTTCCTCTAACTTTTTCTAGTCCTGCAAAGCCCAAGGCCTTGGAATTCCAGCCAAACCTACTGACCAATGTAGAAAAATGAGCAAGGAGAATTGGCCAGGCAGCTGGCCCAGGCACCAACTCAGAATTCACCATTAGGATTGAGCGCTGGTGGAACTTACATCCGTAAGTCCACGTGATTACTGAATAAACCTTAGAAGTTAGCTATGATAGGTCAGCTGAGGATGTAAAATGACATTTTAACATAGTATGTATTTTTTTTAAGTTTTTTATTTTTATTTATTTTGGGGGGTGGGCAGAGGGAGAGGGCAAGAAAGAATCTTAAGCAGGCTCCATGCCCAGCACAGAGTCCCACGCAAGGCTCCATCTGGGGCTGGATCTCAGGACCCTGACATCATGACCTGAGCTGAAATCAAGAGTCAGGCACTTAACTACTGAGCCACCCAGGCACCCCCAAAGTTATTTTTTTTTAATTTATTTATAAGTACTCTCTATACCCCACATGGGCTTGAGACTCACAACCCTGAGATCAAGGGTCACATGTTCTTCTGACTGAGCAGCCAGGCGCCCCATAGTATGTACTTAAAAAAAAAAACCACTTTTATTTTGCAGTAATTTTAGACTTACAGAAAAGTAAAAATAGTACAGAGGATTTTCATATACCCCTCACCCAACTTTCCCTAATGTTTACATCTTATATAATTATAGTACAGTGATCAAAACCAAGAAATTAATACTATTAAATAAACTATGGGTTTATAAGGAGTTTGCCATTTTTTTCACTAATGCCCCCTTCCCAGGATCCCACATTGCATTTAATTATTTCTCCTTAGTTTCCTCCAATCTGTGACAATTCCTCAGTCCTTCCTTGTTGTTCATGATTTTGTCACTATTGGAAAAAAAAAATACCAGTCAGTCAGTTATTTTGTAGAATATCCCCCCACTTGGGTTTGCCTGTTGATTTCTCATGAATTTTTAGCAAGGACACCATAGAAGTGATATACACTTCTCAGGGCATCAGACCAAGGGATTCATGATGTGGATACTTTCCTAGAAGTGGTGATGTTTACCTTGATTGCTAGACTAAGGGGCTGGGTTTCTCTGCTGTAAAGTTACTGTTTTTCCTTTTTTAGTTAATAAATATCTTGAGGGAGATACTGTTAGATTGTATAAGTGTCCTGTTTCTTCTCAAATTTCTGCCCATTAATTGTGGCATCTGCTGGAGAATCTTGCCTACAACAATGATTTCTGTGGCGTTGTAATGGCGAGTCTGTATTTTCCTCATTTCTTCTACAATTGTTAATTGGAATTCTTCCGTAAGGAAGAGCTGCCCCTTTCTCCCTCATTCATTCATTCATTCATTCATTCATTCATTCATTCATTCATTCATGTGTTTATATTAGTATGAACTCATGGGTATTTATTTTATTCTATGGGCTATAATCTAATTACATTATCATTTATATTGTACCTCAGATTGTTCCAGCTTTGGCCATTGGAAGCGCTTGCAGGTTGGGTCCTGTGTTCCTTGAATCCTGTGCCTTCATCTTTTTTGGGCACTTTCTTACCTTCTGAAATCACAAGATACTTCATGTCTCTGCTCTCTCAGCTGGCTCAGCCACTTCTCAAGGAGCCCCGGTGCCCTTTAAAGGATCATAGTATTTAAAGACCAACATCTGGGCACTAGGTGGGCTCATTGTTTTTGGGGTGTCATGGCTTCTAGGCCTTCTCAGCAGGCCGAGCTAGGAAATATATGTATGTATAATAAGGCAAGTATATACACATATATTTTTATTTCTTTATCTATTGAACTGTATACATATTTAAAAGAACATGAGCGTTTGTACCGATAGCCCCGATTCCAACCCAGCACCACAGGGTTTACTCCAGCCTTTCTGCTTTCCCTATCTGTAGCTTCTTCCTCTGCCGGTGGGAAGCCTGGTTCTCATGACCGACACCGTATTTACTGTTCTGTCCAACCCTAGTGTAGGCATAAAGTAATTTGAGAATTGCTAACCCACAGTCTTCTGAGTAACGAATGCAGTATTTGCGTAGAATTCTTTTTGTCTTAAGCCTTACAGTCTCCTGTTAAAATAACTGTTTTCCCAAAGTTCCAAAGTTCTTTTCTTCACCCCTTTCAGTGTGGTTATGTTAGTAATTTGTAATACACTTAGGTTAATTTGTTATGGTGTGTATTCCTTTTGGGCTCCCTCCCATACCCTGATTCATTTGGTTTTTTAAATTTACATACAACAATCTTCACACTTTGTGGTATACAGGTCTGTGGGTTTTTTTTTAAGATTTTATTTATTTGTTTGAGAGAGAGAGAGTGCGTACATGAGCTGGGGGCGGGGCAGAGGGAGAAGCAGACTCCCCACTCGATCCCGGGACCCTGAGATCATGACCTAAGCCTAAAGCAGCCACTTAACTGACTGAGCCACCCAGCTTACCCCCCTCCCGCCGCCTTTTAAAGATCTTATTTGTTGAGAGAGAGAGACTGTGGGTTTTGACAAATGCACAGGGTTGTGTATCCACCACCAGTCATGACACAGAATAATTCTACCACAAAATTGCCCTCACGCAGTCAACCCCTCCCTGAACCTCATCCCCTGGCAGTCACTGATCTGCTTTCTGTCCCTGTAGTGTGGCCTTTTCCAGAAAGTGCAATGAATGGAATTATGTAATAGTCTTTTGGATCTGGCTTATTTCACTTAGGAAAATGCATCCAGGGGTCAGCCATTCAATTATTTGTTCCTTTTTATTGTTGAATAATACTCCACTCATTAGGCACCTCAAGTGTCTGTTGCCATTGCTTCACACTGACTTGAGTCACAGCTGGGTCTTCCAGAAGAAAAAATGATGCTCATACTGCTGGTTTGGTGGTACTCCGGATTCTGGTCTCCTTTCTCCATCTGCCTGCTGCCATTTACTTTCCGGATTCTCCGAAGAGATGCTGCATCGTTCTACCCAGGTTTTATAAAGGCAATCCATGGGAGAGTCCAGGCAGAGGGTGTGTTCACCATCGTACCCAGACTAGACCCTCTGTCCTTTGTCTTTTTGCTTTTAGAAGTCTGAAGTCAGTGTGTTTCCTGATCCTTGTAATTGATCTATTTCATCTTCATGGAAACGCCTAGGATCATTTTTTGTTCCCAAGGGGTCCCCAGTGGTTACAAATTGCCCAATGATGTCCTTGGACAATTTTCATCCATTGTGTTGGGTACTTGGAGGACCCTTTCATTCTAGAATGGCATGTCCTGTTCTAGGACAACTACTTGAATAATTTTGTCCATGATTTTCCTTCTATTTCTCTCTTCTCTCTTTCTGAGGTTTCTTCTATTATTTAAATGTCAGACTTCCTGGACTCATCCTCTACTTTCCTCTTCTCCTTCATTTTCCATCTCTTTGTCTTTTTGCTATAGTTTCTGGGATATTTACCATCATCTTTATTTTCTAGTCTCTCTATTTATTTTGTCATCTGTGCAGTTGTTTTTAGTTTCCAAGAGCTCTTTTGGCGGTTGTTCTCTACGTTTCTTCTCTTTCTTTTTTTTTTAGAGAGAGGGGGAGTGGGTGTGGGGGAGAGGCAGAGAGAGAGAGAGAGGGAATCCTCAAGCAGACTCCCCACTGAGCACGGAGCTTGATGTGGGGCTCGATCTCACAACCCTGAGATCATGACCTGAGCCGAAATCAAGAGTCAGACCGACTGAGCCACCCAGGCACCCCTCTCCTTCTTTTTTATAGCATTCCAGTCGTCTTACTTTGATCTTCTGTCATCTCTTTGAGGACATTAATGATTTGGGGGAAAGTTTTCTTCTCCCTGCATAGACTCCAGGTTGCCTTTTTTTTCTGTTTGTGGTACAGCTATGTCCATGATAGAGTTGAGAACAAACAAGTTAACTTGGAAGCTCTGAGGTTAAGGCAGGGGTTTGCTGACTGTGAGCTTCACTGTGGGGTGAGCTGGCTGGGTGGACTATTTGTTGAACATTCCCTAATTTTAGTATCTTTGGGTGGTTTCTCTGGGACTGGTCAGATTCTCCGGTGCAGAACTTTAGTCTCCTGCTTGGAAGCTTAACGTCTGGTGGCCAAAGTTCTGGGAGCTAAGTTGGGGAAGGAGAGCCGGGGGTCTCAGCACCTGGCACTCATTGTGTATACTGTCATTTGATCTTCTTGGTTTTGACACAGTGCGTCCAAGTTCCCAGTCCACAGACTTCTATTTTACACTCTTAGGAGGGTGAAATCTCTAAGCTATGGTTAGATGGGGTAAAAGTAGTCTCCCCGTGTACAGAGTGGGGGCAGGAAGCTAGAGACGTGTGTCTCTGGGGGCTTTCACCCAGTCCTATTTTAGCCACCCTGTTTGTGCCTCCATTTCCAAAGGTACCTGGTGCTGTTGGTTCCTGAGTTTTTTTGAAGATTCTCTAGTGTGAAACAAGCTCATTCTTCGCTTTATCTACTGCCAACTCAAGGCCGGTAAGTCCTTTATCACCTGCTTCCTAGCTTCTCATATGTTGTTGCTGTTTTTTCCTCTCCTGTCCCGCCTGCCTGTGTGGGGTGTGTCTGTAAACAATCTCTTTACTGTAGTTTTAGTGTATTTTGGGAGGAAGCAAGTTAGATGTGATATTCACTCTTGCATCCTAAAAAGGAAGTCTAGAATGTATTTTTTTAAATATCGGAAATCATAACTCTTAATGCTAAAATGGGACTTGGAATACCACGTTTGCTGGGCCTCAGTTGGGGACAGATGACTTGTACAAAGCCACATAACTAGTAGGGAAGAACAGCTTTCGAACCTGGGACCTGACTTGCCTAATTTTGTTTGTACTATACCAGCACGGTGCCCTTTATGATCATTATGAAATAACATTAAAAAACCTTTTATTCTGAACTAGTGTAAGACTCATGAAAAGTTCCAAAAAAATAGTACAGAGGGTTCCCATGTGGCCTTTGCTCAGCTTCCCCCAACAATAGTCTTATAGACAATAGTACATTGTCAAAACCAGGAGCTTGACGTTGGCACACTACTCTGATGAAGGTCAGGTACAGACTCTTAAGTAACATTCTGAATGTATGAAATTTGTGTATTCTGCTAAGCAAAAGCCAGAAGAGGACTCAATCTTTTCTTACTAAGGAGGCTACAATCTAAATAGACATACGAAGATAACTCACCAAATAACACTCAAGTACAGTCCAAAATATATTTTAGAGCTGTCTTCCAGAAAAGCGAGAGGTGGTGAAAACAGGATGGGCTTTGAAATCAGACGAATCTAAGTCCGAATCCAACTTCGCTGCTTAAGATTTGTGGGTCCCTGGGCAAGGAATTTCCCTGAGCCTCATTTTCTTAATGTAAAATGGTGAATATTATTATCTACTTCTTAACATGGTGAGAATGAAATCATGTAGATTATAGTCTAGAATAGTGCTTGGTACATAGTAGCTCTTCAATAAATGGTCACCATAATAATTATTAATAAAATAATAATCCTTAATAATCATAACCCTGTAGTGGTCCGCTTGATCTCGTGTCCAGCTCAAACACCAGGTAGGTTTCTACCTCCTAATTTGCTCTGTCGGGTTTAAATAGAAATCAAAGAACGGTTCCTCGTGAAGAGAGGCCTCAGAGGGCACCATGACTTGCCCAAATTGGTGGCACGGGTGTGTCCTCTAAGCCTCCTAATCATCCACGTCAGTATTTCAGTCAAGTATGGAAAGATGGTCAAACATTTAACTAAATGCACATAATTTACCTTTTCTTCTAAAGAAAACTTTGGAAAATAACTAGGATTCTTTTAGTTGTAGTACAAGGTAAAGGTGCGTACCTAACGGCCAAAAGGATGCTGTTTATCTCTTGACCACGTTATCACTTTACAAGCAGTTTGGCTCAAGCCCAGAAGACACTTGTTCCTTTCCCAGGACTCCCCCGAGGCCCAGCCCCCTCCATTCCACATGCAAGTCCAAGGGTCCCAGCCCATAGAGGAAGTGGCCATCACAGGCACAGCAAGAAAGCTTTGGAATTAGAAACCCATGCAAATTCTAAATTGAGCCTTGTTTGATTATCTGAACAAAAACACTTGCAAGTCAGTGTGTGAACTAGCCACTTGGGGCTTTTCAAAGGCCCACACTTGGGCCCCACTCAGCAGGTGGTTGTCCAATGAGCATCCTGCTTTACATCACACCTGATCGCCCACCGGCCTAACTCTGGCTTGAATTTCCTGCCCTTGGCATCAACAGAAAGGGGGGGTTCACAAAGGCAGCAGCTTCCGGTTTGGCCCCATAGCAAGGAAGGAGCTCTGCTTGCAAACTTGGCCATTTGCTTAAATTGTAAAGTCAGGACTTGCCTTTGGGGGTCGGGGTGACCCTGCAGTCCATTTGGGTCCACCCAAGCCGGCTGATGGTAAGACAGGACCTGAGGATAAAGAAAAAGCTACTTTGTGATCCTGTCTCTTTTCCTGTTCCGATTGCCTGTTATTTGAACGAATAACTTCCAGGCCTTCCTTTATGTCTCCAACCGTGTTCCTTCCCAACCATCTCACAAAAGATCACATTTCCTTCTGCCGGTTTACCTCGTCTGTCTGGGGGGTTTTTAGGGACTCAGGCATAGCTTTTGGTAGTTCAGTAGACCTGCTAATTCAAGAAATTTTCTCTTCTATTAATCATGCAATTCACATCACTAGAATATTCTCAAAGAAATTAGGCTACATCTAAATAAACGGTGTGGTAAGTGCTGTAACATAAATGGAAAACAGTGTTTATTATGGGCTGAATTGTGCCACCTCCCTCATGTTGAAATCCCAACCCCCAACACCTCAGAATATGACTGTATTTGGAGACAGAGATTTTAAAGAGGTGATTAAGTTAGAAGGAAGCCTTTTGGGTGGGACCTAATCCCATGACACAGGTGCATGGACAGAGGGAAGACCATATCGGTGGCCATCTATAAGTCAAGGAGACAGGTCTTGGAAGCAACCAACCCTGTTGACACCTTGATCTTGGACGTCTAGCCTCTGGAGCTGTAAGGCAATAAATCTCTGTTGCTTAAGCCACCCAGTCTGTGCTTCTTTCTCATGGCAGCCCTAGCCGACAGTACATGGTTCAATCATAACTGCGCTGTGATTTTAATCCCTCCATTCACAAAAGTTAATGGGCCCCGATTTTTTAAAAATCACCATGTAAAGCGAGTCTGCTTGTTTTCTTTTTCACAGCTTAACTGAGGGATAACTCACATCCAATAAACTGTACATACTTTAAGTGTACAATCTGATAAATGTTGACATCTCTCTACACTCATAAAACCATCAACACAATCAAGATAATGAACATACCTGTCATCTTGAATAAGTTTCCCTGAGCTCCCTTGTACTCTTTCTGTCCTTCCCTTCTCCTTCCCCATTTTCCGGGCCACCACTGCATCTGCTTTCTGTCACTAGAGATTAATCTGCCACTTCTAGAGTTTTATATAAATGGAATCATATAGCATGCATTCTTTTTTGTCTAATTGCTTTCACTTTGTTTAATTATCTGGAGATTCATCCAGGTGGTGGTGTATTTCAATAGTAGTATTTTTTTTTTTTTTTTTAAGATTTTATTTGACAGAGAGAGACACAGCGAGAGAGGGAACACAAGCAGGGGGAGTGGGAGAAGGAGAAGCAGGCTTCCCTGTGGAGTAGGGAGCCTGATGCGAGGCTTGATCCCAGGACCCTGGGATCATGACCTGAGCCAAAGGCAGACGCTTAACTGAGCCACCCAGGCGCCCTCAATAGTAGTATTACATGGTATGCGTTCGCCAGAGTCCCTCCATTCACCTGCAAAAGGACTCTTGAAGGCCTGTTTAGTTTTCTTTCTAATAAAAAAGAAATTTTCATTGATTAATGATACAACGTGATTACCAAATTGTCTTTGTTTACTGTCTTATCCATGTTATTTTATTTTAAACGTAGGAAAATAATTGTAATAGCTTTTCTGATGATTGTGAGGGTCCCTATCGTTTTCCAATGGGGGTTTAATCTCTTAGTTATTGGAATGGAATGCCCTAAAATAGGGATTTCAAAACCCTGACCTGGATTTTAGTTGGTTCTGAGTTTTTGTTTTTAACCATAGTGGGGTTTTTTCTCCTTTTTCACCAGATTTAATCAATTTTTTGGCTTACAATTGTTTGAGATTCGGAATAGAGCTGCTATAAACATGCATGCATAAGTCTTCCTGTAGACATATGCTTTCTTTTTGTTCAGGAAAATACATAGAATTGAAATGGCTGGATCATATGGAAGGTGATTTAAAAGGTTTAACCTTTTAAAAATTGCCAAACTTTTCCCAAAATGGCTGTACCATGTTGCACCATCACCGGCGGTCTATGAGAGTTCTGTCTCCTTTGCATCTTTGCCAATACTTGGAATAGTTGAGCTTTTTGATTCTAGCCATCCCAGTAGGAATGTCGTGGCATAGCATTGTGCTATTAATTTGCATCTCCCTAATGATGTTGAGTAGCATTGCCGTCCATAGATCTTTTTTTAGATGACATGTCTGCTCAGATCTTTTTGCCTATTTTTTAACTGGGTCATTTGTTTTCTTACGATTGAGTTTTGAGAGTTCATTATGTATTCCGGATGCCGGTCTTTTATCAGATACAGACTTTGCAAATATTTTTTTCTAGCCTGTGACTTGTGTTTTCATTCTCTTAATAGCGTCTTTCAAAGAGCAGAATTTTTAATTTTGATGAAATCCAATTTATCAACCTTTCCTTTTATAGACTGTGCTTTTGGTGTCACATCTAAGAAATCTTTGCCTGATCTTGTCACCAAGATTTTCTTCTATGTTTTCTTCAAAAAGTGTCGCAGTTTTAGGTTTTATATTTGGGATTATAGCCCGTTGTGAGTTAATGTTTCTATATGGTATGAGGTATGCATAAAAATTCTTTTATTTATTTATTTATTTTTGCATGTGGGTGTTGAATTGTGTCAGTACTATTTGTTATAAAGATTGTTCCTCCTCTGATGAATTGCTTTTGCATCGTTGTCATAAGTCAGTTGTCCTTAAATGTATGGGTTTCTTTTTGGACATTTTATTCTATTTTACTGATACTTTTGTCTGTCTTTATGTCAATAGCACACCGTCTTGGTTGCTGTTGCTTTATAGTAAGTGTGGAAATTAAGAAGTGTTAGCTCTCCAACTTTGTTCTTCTGAATGTCCTTTGTAAACAGCCTAATCATTAACGCCCTCATTGCCACTCAGAGATCCCTTTGAGTGGGCTTAATTAATTTCCTCTCTGAATCTCCAAAGGTGGCTCTTAAAATTTGTGCACTTCTGCTCAAGCCCCTACCCTGCCTCTTGCTTCTCTCACTCCCTCTTAGTTCTGGACTTTGCCCCTTGCTTGGCCCAAAAGTAGAGGTCATCAGCTGAGACCTTCCATAACTGTTATACTCCCCCAACAATAAGGTTTTCTACATTTGCACTAATCCTTACCTGCTTCCTTCCTAGCTCGGAGAACAATACCAATTATCATAATGACCAGGTAATTATAGTTACAAATACTGGGTTCTTTCTATGGGCCAAACACTATGCACTTTTTATCATTTCTCATTTCGTCTGCAGAAGATCTCTATCCGGTAGAGATACTGTCCTTGTCCTCATTTGACGGAGGAAGAAGTGAAGGTAGAGAAATTCTTTGTGTTTCCCATATTAGGGTAGCTAGTAGGAGTTGGAGTTAGGGTTCAAGCCTGGGTCCGTCTGGTTTCTGTCCTTCCTCCTGTCCAGACCTAATGATCCTGTTAGTACTGTCCATCCCCTGCCCTCCTAGCTCATCAAAAAGCTTGCTCCGTTCAATACCTCCCTCTCCTTTATCTCTTTCCCCTTCCCTTTCTACTTGCTCCTTGCCATCAAGGTGATCATACCAAAACAAGTATCTTCAACTACTGTAAGAAGTTGAAGTTTTCCAAATGTTTATCTGCAGCCAGACTTACATTCTGCAGATTCATGTATTAAGTTGTGTATTACAAAGCTCCACTGGGATATCTCTCCGACACCTCAAACATCAAAGAAAATGTATCACCTTCCTTCCAACCCTGTCCCTCCTCTAGAATTTTCTACCCCAGCCAATGGCTCTTCCAACCATACAGAAGCCCAAGCCAGAAACTGACCGTCAAAAGACTCAGATTTTGATTTCAAAACACAGCTCTGCCACTTACTAGACTGGAGACATTTGAGCCTCAATTTCCCAACCCAAAAAGTGGGAGTAAACATTCTACTTCACAGTGTTGTTTTCTGAGCTAAATGACCAGGTTAGTTGCTCGGTAATTACTACTGTGCTCATCATTGTCGTCATTTTCACCATCATCATATCCTATTACCCCCTCCTTCTTTCCAGTCGCTCTTACTTACCTCCTTACGGTTCCACAGACATAGCCTGCACCATCATTTCAGTTTCTTCAATTTTGCTATTCTGCTAGAAGGTCTTCTTACATTCTAGACCATTGATCACTGAAGTCCCACCCATGGGGCATTAGAAAGCATTAGGACTTCTATTTATGTTCATTTTTAGAAATTTCATCTGTTAAGGTTTTATTTATATGTGTTTTATATATTAACAGAGTATATATAAAATTTAGAAATAAGTGTAACTATTGAGGATACACGTCCAAAAATTTTGGGGAAGCATATATAATAAAAATAGTTGGGAGTTCACCATTCTTGACTGAGTGAAGTGCCCTGTTTTGTTTTCATCCAGAACATCATGGCATTTTGTGAAAACTGGGTGTCTGCCCCATGGACAACATGAAGGCAGGCACTGATCTAATTCGGCTTAAGTTGCCCACAGCAAGTTCTGCTCTCATTGCTTTTAGCGGGAATGGATTTCTTATAGGCTGTTGCCTCGTAGCGAGGTTCTTAACCTTCAGTGCGCATCAGAATCTGCAGAAAGGTTTGTTAGAGCCAAGGTTCCTGGGCCCCGCGCCGGAGTTTCTGATTCAGTGGGCCTGGTGCGGGGTCCGAGAATCTGCGTTTCTACCAAGTGCGCAGGCGCTGCTGATACAGCTGCGCCAGAGGCCGCCCTTTGGGAACCGCTGGGTTACAGGATGGTGATAAGGGCTCCAGACTGGGCATCCTGGACACAACGCTCAGAGTCACACTGCAAAACTGGCTTGGCCAGGTAGTTGCTGCACCTGCTGCTTCCACTGCCAAGCCCCAAGCCCCACTGCCTCTGCTGCAGGCCGGAAAACCGCACAAGCTGGAGACGGTGCGGACGCCGCTCCATACCCAGGGGTCGGAGACTGACTAGACATTACTGCCTTTCTCGCCCTTGCTGGAGACGGTCCAAAGCATCTCCACTTCGGTGTGAGACAGGGCAACCTCAGGGACCTCAGGAAAAACTGCTTTTTTTGCTCCTTTTCCTGCTTCTCTTCTTGCTAGGACCTGCACCCCCGCCTTACACACACCTTATAGAACAGATCAGGTATGACATTAACTCCTTGTAAAGGTCAAGGAGTTAATGATTTCTTTGGAGTCTTCCAGCACCATGGATATGATCTAAAGAGTGACTGGGCAGGGTCCACATGAAGCTTTTCCAAGACCATGGACTCACCAGGACCCCTGGCTCCAGGGCATAAGTGATTTATAGAGGACACCTAAACACTCCTTTCTGTTCCTGGGTGCCTGGGAAGACACGTACCCCAGGCCACAGTTTTCAGGAAAAACCCCAGACCCCAAGCAAAGACGAGACTCTCTCTCCTTTTCCTTTCGGAGTCCCCCAGACACTCTGCTATATCTGCTCTCTCTTTATCTTCAATAAACTCTGCTCTCACTTCCTGCTGGCTTATGTCTGATTTCCATCCTGCAGGAAGCCAAGGACCCTCCGGGCTGGTCCTGAGGGACCCCCGCTGGGTCCTCGGACCAGGCCTGCATGTATGGTCTGTAACCAGAGGGGCAGTATAGGGGGGACGCTGACAGCGCCCACACCGCACTGCACACCAGAGCATCTGCCTGGGGTAGCCTGCTATTTTCATAACCGACCTAAGGTTACTTGTGGAATCCCTAGGGCCAGGGAGTTGGGAAAACAAAGACTCAGCATCCCAGACTTTAGTGCCTAGGAAATCTTGCTAGGAGAGGTTAGGGTGGTTTTGAGTGAGGCATCTGTTGTAGAGTGTTTTTTTTTTTTTTTTAAGATTTTATTTATTTTATTTGAGAGAGAGAGAGAGAGAGCATGAGTGGGGGGAGCAGCAGAGGGAGAGGGAGAAGCAGACTCCCCGCCAAGCTGGGAGTGTGACGTGGGACTCGATCCCGGGACCCTGAGATCATGACCTGAGCTGAAGGCAGACGCTTCACTGACAAAGCCACCCAGGCGCCCCTGTAGATTGTATTTTTCACCTTGCTTTCTGGTACAGAGCCTGAGCCCTAGGACCCGGCACAGAGCGGGCCCTCAGCGGGCCCTTCTTCCTTCTCCTTCCCCTGTGGGCTAGCCTCAGTCACCCGCCTCCAGCATGCCCATGTGCCGTGCTTGAGAGTTTGCCCTGCTGATAAAATCTGCCGGGCTCCTGTCTGGGGTCTTCGCTCCGATTTTTTCCACAGTGAGGTGGGCTCTCTGAACACGCTAGGCGTACTGGGGGGAGCAGAATTTTGCAGTGATGGGTCTGCCTCTGACTATCCCCCCTGTGGGAGTGTCACCGGGGCTCACCTGGATTCTGGGTCACTGTGATCTCTCCCCAACTCCTTCCCTCCCAGTGCTCATCTGCAGAGACTGGAACCCAGGTGTGGCCCCTCTGTCTTGAGAGGCTCTGAGACCGAGGCCATTCCTGGAAGGAAGATCTGATAGCCTTCCACGAACGAGCTGTAAAACGATTTGGAGTGAACCGTCTCTCCGGGCGGCTTGCAGCTCTTCCAGTGGTTTCCACTGGCATTAGTGGGCAATAGATGCAAACAGTCAAATTGCCTGTTCTCTACCACTAGTTCAGGTCAAAGTGTCATTTAGTCAGCTTCCAAGGCTTCCTCAGTCCTCCTGCCTGGGAGCGTGGAGGTGCGGACTGGGGAGAAAGGCCAGGCGTGCTCAGGGTTCAGGCGATAACTCCTCCCAGCCTCTTCCTTTAAAGCCACACTGCAGTGCCACCCACAGCCTTTGCCGACCATGACAGAAGCAAACTGCTATTAAAATTTTGGCAGCGCTCATAGTGTCAGAAGCCAAGCTTTAAACAGAGAGGCGTCATGACACAGCGGAAGGAGCGGAGGATTTGGAAATAGGTCTCCAGGATCAACTCTTTTCTCTCTATTGACACGTTGTGTGACTCTGGACACATTTCTTTTTCTTTTTCTTTCTTTTTTAATTTTTTAGATTTTATTTATTTATTTGAGAGAGAGAGAGAGCACGAGCCGGGGGAGGGGCAGAGGGAGAGGGAGAAGCAAACTCCCCACCGATGGCAGAGTCCCACTGATGGCTCGATCCTGGAACCCTGAGATCATGACCTGAGCTGAAGGTAGATACTTATCCGGCTGAGCCAGCCAGGCGTCCCTCTGGGCACATTTCTTAACGTTTCCTTGACTCAGTGTCTTCACCTGTAAAAAGAGAAAACTCTGCCTTGGAGACCTGTGAGGATGTAATATTAAGTGCTTGATATGTATTGTCAAATGGCAGCAATTGGTACTATTTCTAGCGAGGAGCACGGAGGATGGTCACAGGTTCGTAGCTTGTTTGCTTATGCTCATGAACACGTGTACCTTCTCAGGATATGGACGGTCTTAGTGGAGCAGAGATTTTATTTGTAAATTCCACTCATTGGCCATCTCAAATTCTGTCTAGAATAAGGCGGGGTATAAAAATTATTTTTTATATTGTACATTCATTTACTAAGTGAGCACTTCCCCTGTTTGGTGTAGGAGATACAGATCTGAGAGAGACAGCACCTGCCCTCAAGGATCTTACAGTCAAGGAGGCAAGGTCATCACGCACATCTGATCGCAGACAGTGAGATGCATTCAATCACAGGGATGCGTCCGCAGTGCTAAGAGCCTGGAAGAGGGGCAGCAAGCACCATGGGCAGGCCTTTGCATGCCAGACCAAGGAGCTGGGACTCTGTAGGCGGTGGGAGCCCCGCCAGGAGAGAGACTTGGGTGGCTTTGCATCTGGAGCCCTCACTGCTGCAGCTGGGGCTGGAGGGACAGGGGAAGGCGGGACGGCCAGCAGAGACACCACCATCCAGGCGAGCAGTGGCAAGGGAATGAAGACCATGGGTGGATTCCAGGGCTGGCGAGAGGTCCCCTCCACAAGACGAGGTGGGTGCCTGGATGCAGGGATAAAGCCAAGAGGCAAGGACATGGGTGACTTTAGGGTTCCTGGCTTATGCGGCTGGGTGGATGGTCGTGCCTTGGGCCACATTTTCTTTGAACGCAAAAACAAAAATCATGGCCTATTCTTAGTAATTCTGATTCCCTGTGGGTATTTTTGGTACCAGAGTTTATTTCGTTGTCCCATCTTCTCTAAGAAAATTCTATCTGATAACTAGTAGAGGCTGTAAATAAGAGCAGAAGAAGGGCAGGAGTCTTTGCTTCCCCGCCCCCCCACCCGCCTCCCCGGATGGGAAGCAATGTGGGGTATTTATTTGCTGTTAACTTACACAGCCTACCAGCGTGGAGAGGGGTGGCGGGTGAGGGCTTACACAGCCGCTCAGGTACTGCCCAGTTGGCCAGGCAAGTTCTCAAAACAGCTTCTGGCTTGGCCACTTCGCCGGGCACCAGCCCCACAGGTTATGAAATGTTTAATACTGTGTTTTTATGGGAGAAATGCAACAAGGAGATAGAAATGTGTTGTAAAGGTGGTCTGACCAGATATTGCTCAACCGACTGGCCTCAAGAACAGGAATGTTTCTGGCCAATACACATTTAAGGGAGAGAAATGAAAACAAAAGCAATCAAATGGTATTTTTCTCAGACTTGAAGGGAAGATGCATTCTCAGCTTGAGAGAGACTTTCTTTTTCCTAATTAAGATGAATGTAATGTTTAATTACAAAGACCCCAGGTAAACTAAAAATGGACTGTTGCGAATTTTAAAAAGGTAAAAGGATTCATGTTGGAAGAAGTGGACTCTCGCTGAGTCTCAGATGACTCAAGTGTCTTTTGCATTATGAAGGACTGGGATTTTCAGCTGCACAGCATATATGCTTACCGTTGGGGCGTGTGTGTGTTGTGTGTGTGTGTATTTATCTCACACCAAAGACCGAAATCTCACGAAGCCTTGGTTAGCAGGTGTCATGATTATCCTATAAACACAGCACACTGTGGATTGCTGCCACGTAGTTATTTTCTTCAGACATATCTTTGTGGTAGAATGTTCTCTCTCTCTTTTTTTAAAGATTTTATTTATTCATTTGAGAGAGAGACAGAGAGAGCACAAGCAGGGGAGAGGGGCAGAAGGAGAGGGAGAAGCAGACTGCCCACTGAGCAGGGTGCCCGATGCGGGACTCGATCCCAGGACCCTGGGATCATGACCTGAGCCGAAGGCAGACGCTTAACCATCTGAGCCACCCAGACGCCCTAGAATGTTCTCTTTCTGGAAGCCAACGACTTCTAATACTGGATTCTTGAGTGTAGCAATAAGCCTCCCCAAACACAAATACATTTCCTGCGTTTTAAAAGTAATGGCCCGCATAGCCATTCATCTCCATGACTGGTGATTCGTGCAAAAAAATGGGATCTAAGAAGTGTTAATGAAGGAACCATCCTTGAACTCTGAACAGTCAGAACCAAGCCTTCTAATGGACACCCAAGCATGCAGTTAGGGGAAGGAAGGTTTGAGGTTGAATCCTAACTGAACGTCTCTCGATAACCTGCAGCCTGGGCAAAGGTGTGTCCCGATGCTCCGTGGCGTGCTTGGAACTCCCCAGCTGGTGGATTGAGAGTTGTTTGCTCGCCCTGTTCAAAACGAGAGGTGTAAAAGGACACCTGAAAGACGACTCATAATTTGTAACTGACTGGCGTTGCTTGACGAGCCCCGTGTATTTATAATCTTTCAAAGCCACATGCAAAGGTCCCCGTGCCTCATTAATCATCCAGCTGCAATATTTTTGTCTATCATGCTGTTTGTTACCACAAGACCTGAACTAAAGTAAACTTCTCCTTCCCAAGTTTTGCCTTGTACCAGAGCTACTGCGCTAGTCTTTCTAAATTATCGCAACCCATGTCTGTTTCAGGCTGGTCCCCGGGGGCTGTAATTGCAGAAGTATAACCTGGTAGTTAGGTCACATGGTCCAAGGAACCGCCGGGGCACCAACGTGCTTCCTGCCAGACGACCTTTGGCAGCTGGAGACACGGGTGCCCCATCTGCAGCCGCTGGCTGTGTGTGCGCTCCGCTCTCTGCTATTCCCAGGGCAGAGTGGAGGTGCCTGTTGAAAACCCCGAGTCAGAACTTGGAACCCTGAGCTCCCGCTCTGCCACCCTATCAATTTCCTGTTAATGGAGTGGCTTGCTCAGGTGTTAATTGGCAAGGATGTTTGTTTGCTTTTGTTTCTTATAAAAAGAACGGTATTTTAGTCTGAGACATTTCCTACTTTTGAATTAGCTTAGGGCATGTTTCCTACTAGAAAGATAAGCATTATCTATACAAGGATGCGGACTATCTTCCTCGGTTTAACCCTTGGGAACGGAGGCCTGGCTTCACAGCGGAGGGGATTCAGGCAGGGCACAGCCCGTGCGTGTGGGGATGTGGATGCTGGAGATGCTGGGCCCGGGTCTGATTCGTATCTCAAGCCTCAGTGTCCTCATCTGTAGCAGAAGGTAGTCGTGAGGAGTCCACGAGCTAATGCGTATGAATGACAGCCACACACCACGAATGACAGCCCTCACACTGTTCCTTCACTAACTCATTTCCCCCTCAGAGCAGTTCTGTGGCGGAGGCGCTATTTCTATCACCCCCGTTTGACAGATGGGAACTTGAGGCCCAGAAAGGTACAGACAGTAACTTGCCCAAGGTCACGCAACTACTGAGGGGCAGACCTGGGATTTGAAACCAAGCTTGACTATGGAGCGCACGTTCTTATTTATGACATTAAACTTCCTTTTGTAAGATAGTTGGTGAGTGCCGTGTACTTGGTAACTATCCAGTAAATACTAGCAGGGAACGCACAGCCAATTTCTCATACCAGAAGCCATGTTTCTCCTCTCTGGATATTATGCTAAGCGTCATGGGTGACCCTTTAAAGGCCTAAAAGTACTGTTTACTTCTCCAAGGGTAAGTCTCTTCTCTGTGGCCTCAGGAAGTTGGAGCAAACAGAAATGTGGTAAAGGTGTTAAGGCATCAGTCAGCGTGGGGATGGTAAGATGCCGCCATATTGTGGCCAAATCGTGCCAAGCCAGTGGGGGGGCACTTTAGAACACGGGGGGATCTTGATGGGGCTTGCTGTGACAAGGAGGAGACACTTCGTCTGTGTGCATTTGACTAGGGAGGTGATGGAGAACCTTAGGTGACTTCCGGTCCTGGGAAGGAGAGCTTGGGGCAGAGTCCTGGGTCCTCTGAGTATCTCAGCTGCATTCGAAGTTGGAGACTGAGAAGGATGATCGGGGCTGATCGAGAGAAAGCAGTGTGAGTCCTCCCCCAAGCCTCTGTCTTAGAGACTCTGGAAGGTGTTTTAATAGTAAAGAGATGCCCATGGGATGAGACAGCTTGCATAGGTTTGGGGGTAGCTGTGACTGGCATTTGCTCTCGGAAGACTAGAGATGCCAACACTCCTATGCTGGAGCTTGCTTTAGATTTTTACCCTCTGTGTAATTCTGCTCCATGACCGGCCAAGCACTATTTTAGGGGCTGGCAATTCAAAGACAGTAGAAAGTGCAGTCCCTGCCCTTAAGCAACTGATGTTCGTTGGAAGAGACAGACAGATAAACAGAAAATACAAATCAATAGGGTAATCCAGAGGCAAGCATGAGGGATCATGGGACCTTTGGGAAGGACCTCTAATTCTGGGAGGGAGGTGGTGAGATCAGAGGCAGCTGGTGATACCTACCAAACATCAGCCTCTGAGGCAGAAGGAGGTGGAAGGTAACAGGGAGCTAAGAGATGAGCAGTTTTGTCTTGATGGGGCTTAAAATATTAGGTAAGGCAAGGTAGGGGATAAAGGTGGGGAGACAGGGCCACGTGTAATAGAGGAAGGCGCTCAGGCTTCTTTGGCTCTCCAGCAATAATAGTATCGCTAGATATATGAGTGGCTTTGTAAATAGATCCCTCGGACAGCAGTATGGAGGATGGGATTCGGGGGAGAAGAGGCTGAGTCAGAGAGACCTGCTGTAGTGAATTCAGACAGGATGAGGGCTTGAGCCAGGACTATGATGATAGGAAAGGCAGCTAAATAAACTGAGCAGGACTCGATGTTTGATTGGTCATGGGTGGAGTGTTGGGAGAGAAAGAATTTGGTGAAGGCTCCCACGTTTCTAGCTTGGGTGGCTGGGAAGATGGTGGTGCTCCCACTGAGTTGGAAGTTATAGGGAAAAAGCTAGGTTAGAACAGGAGATGATGAGGTCAGTCTTGAAAACGTTGAGTTGGAGGTGCCTGGTGGATATTTAAAGAGAGGGTCCCAGAGGCGGTTCCAGAGGCCTGCGCTAATGTCATGAGCATCTAGTGCATTGTTGAAACCTTGGAGGGGAGATGGGCTCAGCGGGGAGCAGACCAGTGCTCCGAGAAAGGACTGTGGCATTTCCGGCAGCCTGGGCTTGGGGCGGAACCAGCGCAAGGCACCAGCGGCTGTGCAGCTCAAGGGCTCCGGAATAGAGCAGACTCCTATGGGCAGAGATGCTGCAGTCTACGCTGGCTTTACAGGAGAATCGGACAGAGTGGGCCTGTTGCCGGGCTTGAGACATTGTGTCCCAATGCTGGTTCTGATGCAGGGCTGGGGAGAAGGGTGGGCTGGGGGAGGAGAGGGGCGTCGCAGTCCCCTGCCAGCCAAGGGGGCTCTTTAAAATGGAAACGTTTGAACTATTGGTGAAACATCATGAAACGTTCCGGTCATTGGTGTCTAGGCAGAGGTTCTCGGGCAGGTGAAGGCAGGAAAACACCCGTCGGGCCTCTTCACATCGTGCCGGTGCTGAGATTTTCACAGGTCATAGGCTTGTGACAGGCTTGGGACCTGTCCTCAGGGGAGGGGGCAGTGTGGGTCCATTTTGAAAAAAACTCCTGGGGGTGATCCCTCCCAGGTGGAGAACCCCTGCTCTAGAGGACACAGGACTAACTGGAGAAAAGTCTCGGGAACCCTCCCTCTACTTTGTCCCCCTAAGTTGAACTGTTTTCCACCAACACTTCAAAGCGTCCTCCAGCCTAACAGGGGTACAGTCCCACCATGGAGAATTTCTACACGTTACTGCTCACCTTGCAGTAAAACAATTACAGAATCATCACTCACTCACCCGGCATTATCAGGAAGGCTAGGGGGAGCACCTGAAGCCATGGTGCTCTTTCTAGAACACCATGAGATATTGACATATTTATTTCTATTAAATGATTTCAGACAATTTTACGGGCAGAAAGTATGACTCTATAATATATGTATGCAATCTAAATTTACCACCAACTGTCCATGAAAAAAAAAAATCAAGCTGTCACACCAAGCCTAATTGGTGATTTCTGTGTTTTTCTGCTAATTTTTGTTAGCTGTGCTCATTTATTTGTTTTATCATATAAGTGTTCACTGGCAGACAAGTGGTAGCAGTTGCCAAAGTCTTAAGGAAAATCTAGGAGATAAATTTCGGTGCCGTATACTGAGGCTGTGGTGCCTTTGGGACAAGAGTGCGATTCCATCACCCCCTGAAAATCGGTAAAAACCGCAATCATTGCATTTTACTCGTAGAACCCCTGAGTCCAGCTTACGGAATAAATCCTTGAGAACCACTGACTTCAATGATGACATTTATTTCTTCTTTAACTGTCAAACAGCAGCTGTGTTTATGTAGATATTCTTGACCCAAGTAATGGGCGAGCTTTATGGGATCTGAGAACCCCACTCAAAATGAAAAGCTGCCTCTGTGTGTTCTAGCTGTGGGGACTTGGTCCCTGGGTTCTTTCTACCCTGAACACGTTCCCCCCCCCACCCCCCCGCTTCCCAGTCTGTACCAACAAGAAGCCTTGCTTCTAGGCTCCACTCATAGGCCGTTTGCTAAAAACATATTATACCAAGGACTGAAGGTCTCACAAAGAGAGAGAGGCCTCCTCCAGATTCAGGCACTGGTCAAGAGCACTGCTTGGAGCTCCGATTTCCACCTGAGTACCTTCAGGGCCAGGGAGCTCACTTCTTCACAAAGAAAAGGTTTTCAGGAAGCCCCTCTGATTTCCATCTCCAACTTCTAAAATCACCCAACCCTTAAATTCTGCTTCGTTTTTGCCATCGGCACTTTCTCCCTTGTAGTGTTTTTACTTGGGTCCTCAGTGTGTCCCTCTGTGGTAAGTGGCTCAGGTTTTGGAATCATTTGGGCTAGAACCTTCAACTCATAACTACCTTCACCATTTACTAGCTGTGTGACCTTGGTGAATTCCTTAACCTCTCTGAGCCTCAGTTACCACATACTTAAAATGAGAATCCCATTACTGCCTATTTCAAGGATTATCATGAGGCCCATGAAGGAAACTGCCTGACAGAAAGCCATCAATGTAGCGGAGATATTATTCTTATCCCCTCTCCTAGATTACAAAGTCAGCGAGGGCTGGGACCTCTTCTTGGATGTCTTTGAATCTCCGCCTACCAGTCAGTAAAGTGCCTGTATGAAGAATCTAATGAACGTACGGCATGAAAGAGACTGAGCTGACCAAGACAGACAGGAAGCTTGGGTAATTATTTGAAATGTCTAAAGTCTTCAGAAGGCTTAAAAATGTAATGTCAACCCTCCTGCAAGAGAAATGTGTGGCACAGAAAACCCAGGGCAGAAAGCAGAGAGCACGGCAAGTTGGGACAGGAAATGAAGATGAAATTGGGAAAGGTCATGCGGAATCAGGTCAAGTTCTGGGGGAAGAAGGAGCAAAGACACATGATGTGGCGAGCGCTAATTAACGTGGTTAAAGAGAACAGCATGGAGCAGTCAATGCCGGTAGAGCAAGGAGCCCGGCTCCCAGGCTGCCCCAACGTAAAAAACAAAAGCAATCTCTCCACCTCACGACTCCTTGCAGATGAACCTGCAAACCTCCCTGTCTTGGCTTTCTAGATGAGAACTATGATGGCAGAGTGGCGGGCCTTCCCAAGATGTATTAACCCTAGAATTTGCTCCTGGCTCCTGTTTAGGCCGCAGCCTCTTCCTGACATCCTTTTCCTCTGTGCATGGCTGTCGATGCTCATCCGGGAGCAGGAAATGATTGCATGCTTTGTGCTTTTCTGCAGTTGGTCTTCTAACGAGAAAAACAAAACAAGGCAAGAAAGCAAGCTGGATGTTTAGAGAGATTCTGAAAGCATTTCAAGACTAGCTGTTAACCGAGGCAAGAAAGGAAAGGTGGAGGCTGGCCATTCAGATTCCCCGGAATGGGGACAGGTGGGAATTCATCTCCGGCTGGCCTATGTGTATCGTGCACTTCAAAGTGACTTTACAGGTTGATTTGGAGATTCCAACCCAGGAGCAAACGGAATACCTTGCAAACTCTCGCCTGTACGATACATTTTTTGAAAAGAGAACACCGCTCTGGGAGAATTTGGGAGAGTAGGCAGAGGGGACAGGGCCACCCACGAATCACGCACCATCCAGATCGAGTCATGGCCTTTTTTTTTTCTCCCGGAGAATCAGCTGTTAAACATTCACCAGCACACTGCTGTGTATAAACAAGATCCAAGAGGAACCAGTTAACCTACTAGAGTGAATAAAGAGTTTGGCACAAAACTGTGGGCAGATAAGTAGATAAGGTTAATTGTATTATGTATCCCTTCGTTAATGAAAGCCTGGTAGGAACACTACCGAATGTGACTCAGCAAATTAGCGCCATTTACTGCACAGCCTTCGAAGCCATATTGGCTTTTATTATTCTTTCTTTCCTTTTGTTTTTTTTCCCCCCCTAAAATGGAGGCCTCCAGTTGCAGAACTCCCCGTTTACAGCTTACACATGCCTGATGGGCATGAAAAGTTGAGTGAAGAGTCCGGTGTAAGAACTCAGGGTTTCGCCTGCAGCTGGCGGCTGCAGGTGCTGCAGTGGAGGTCAAGGTTGAGCGGGGAGGTCCTAGAAGTGTCAGCTGAGGTCTGGTGTTTGTAACTCACACGGCTGAGGTCTGGTGTTTGTAACTCAAAGCTGGATTCCCATCCCTCTCCTTTATACCTTATAACAATTTTCCTTCAGTAATCCCGCGTCCCAGAAGTGCTGTTGAGGCCGGAGGGCGGTGAGTGTAGTTTCACTTCACGGTATGCTTGAGAGATGGGGTCGTTATGGAGTTTGGGGATCGTTCTCCATGCATTCCAGAAACTGCAAGCCTTGAGGTCCACTCCACCGGTCGACCAGCTTTTTCAGCTGAAAGACTATGGTCCGGCTTCCCAAAGTCCTGTGTCCATAGAATCCAGCCAGGTGCGACCCATAGTGTCCATTCTGGTAATTTCAAAGGTGCAACAACATTGTGTAATGGAAAAGATGGGGTACGGAGTTTGGAGTCAGAAGACTGAGGTTCAAGGCAAACTAATCTCTGGTGCCGAGATCAGAAAGCCGTTGAGGGTTTTCTGGGAAAGGACCTGAGGGGATTTTCTGGGTGATAGAAATGTTTTGTTTTGTTTCAAGGTAGGCTCCACACCCAGCCCAGAGTCCAACGTGGGGCTTGAAGCTGAACTCACGACCCTGAGCTGAAATCAACAGTTGGACGCTTAACCGACTGAGCCACTCAGGCGCCCGTGGAGATGTTCTGTATCCTTTTTGGGAGGTAGTTACACATGCATATACATTTGTCAAAATTCAGCAAATGACAATGATGATCTGCACATTTTGTTGAATGTAAATTATACAGCAGTTTTTAAAAAGGGCAGGTTCAAGTGCTGGTCGTCTCCCTTACTGTATAGACAAGTCCTTCATCTCTCTGAGCCCTGGTTTCCTCCCTGAAAAATGGAAGGACCACTTATACCTGCGCCATCGGTGATCACATATATTATTAAATGACACTACGTGAGTTAAAAGTGCTCTGTAGGGCGCCTGGGTGGCTCAGTTGGCTAAGCAACTGCCTTCGGCTCAGGTCATGATCCTGGAGTCTTGGGATCGAGTCCCACATCGGGCTCCCTGCTCAGCGGGGAGTCTGCTTCTCCCTCTGATCCTCCCCCTCTCATGCTCTCTGTCTCCCATTCTCTCTCTCAGATAAATAAATAAAATCTCTAAAAAAAAAAAAAAAAGTGCTCTGTAAATGATGAAAAGCCCTGTACATAGTGACTCCCGTTGTTCTGCTTTTCCTCCAGCTGCCTTCTAGAGCAGATTATTGAGCTGGTACAAATCTGTGGGCTCTGCCCTGCAACTTCCCTTGGAGATTAGTGTTTATCTATTTTAAGGAGACTCTGGAGGTATCAAAAGGCTGCAGAAAAGCAAATGGAATATGGATTTGCTGGAGACAGGAGGGCGGGCAGCAAAGGGAACAGCTGGGGAGAAAGCCATCCATCCAGCTGGGCAGCAGGGCCAGCCGGGTGCCGAGAGGGAGTCGCTGAATGCCTGCGAGAGAGAGAGAGAATGAGAGAGAGAGAGAGAGAGTCGTGACCAGGAAAAGCAGCGTGAGTAAAAAAAAAAATCACATCTTGCCAAACAAACTGGGTCACATTCGTGATGGAGTTAGTCACTGAGCAGAGCCGGGAGAGCATTTTCAGGGGGAAAAAGCACGGTTGGGGGACCATGGTGACTCAGCTGAAGAGGCAAAGGCCTCTTGGGCCTCCTGGCCTGGTGGGGTAGTTAAGTGAGAGGGTCCTTCTGTGGCTCCTGCAGTATTTTGGGTTTGAACTCGATCTTGACTCCTAAAGGCAATCACAAACAACCTTTACATTGGAATCAAGAGCACAGCACACATTTTAAAAAGGAAAAATCTTAGCGAGAAGCCAAGTTAAACTGGGACCGGAAGAGTGGGGAGGCCATTGCGGAGCTCACCCCCGGAATTCGAGTGGGAGGTGACAACTGCCTGAGTACAACCGAGCTCCTGAGTGATTACACTGGCAAAGTCTTTCAGTGTAGCAACTTTAAAGTCTGAGCAAAGAGCAAATGCCCTTTGGCAACAAAAATCTATAAGATGATTGAACAATGCCGAGATCAAATTTAAAATTGTTGGCTACTAAAATAAAGTTAAAAGAGGGAAAGATGTAGCAGGAAGAAACAATCTACAAGACAAATCTGATGTGTGAAATTTTGATTTTATCCTCATTATAAAAATTTTGGTGCTTTCTGCTAGATGGTTCTGCCAAGAAATGTGATATGTTGAAAAAGAAGAGGAAATGTACTCTAGATGCTGAGGCTATAAAAGGCTGTTTAAAGTGACAGGAATGAGTCGAGGTTCTCCCCATGACCGAGGTTATAAAATTAGGATCTTAAAACTACCAAATCTGGGTGAGAAAAAAAAAACTCCAGTAAAAGCCATATCTAAATTTATCTTAATATAACTTACATTTTCCCACAGTGTTTGTCTTTTCTCTGGGCATGTCGGATTCCTTAGGCTGTTAATTCCCTCCCGAAGAGCAGTCTCTGTTGGAGCGTGGTGGGGAGCTAGGGTGAGGAGGCACAGTGAGAAAGCAAGGGGGGTTCTTTCCTACAACCTCTGAATCGGAAAGAGGGTGCGGTGAGACGTGGACGCTAGCATGTGGGGCGCATCACTGTGTTGATGCCTGGTGCTCAGGATGCTGATGGAAACCTAGCTGGGAGCAGCCTTCCCCACCCAGGTCTTTGTCTTACTGGTAATCTGATGCCTTCAACCTGCACCTCAACACTCGGTGATTCCATTTTTTCTTTTCTACCTGTACCACGCTGTTAATGAGTACGTGGGGTCTAGGACCTCCTGCAGCCTGGGGCCGGCTCCATGAGCTTCTTTACCCCTTTTGTCCCACGTCTTCAGGAACAGTTGGACACACACCTTCTCCCCCCAGTCACTCACTCATGGGCTGTGAATCCTAAGGGAATCTCTTCTCTCTCCCTGGCTTCAGAGGGAGATTTGGGTTTGAACCTCAGGGCCGTGACTTATTGGCCATCTGGGAAACCTCTGTGAATGCTGAGTTTCCTGAGAGGTGGCACGGAGTGAGTGGCCAATACACAGGGGCTATAAATAGCTGCTTCACATTTTTGCCAAAGACTGGACCGGACGGACCTCGATGGTAAAATAACCAAATCAACATGCAGTCGGTTATCTTTTGATATAAGGGAACAAATAAGAGAGATCAGAGGATCCTCAAAGGCTGTTTTTGTCCCAAAGCGACTCTCCAAGGACAAAACTAGCAGCCCTCTGTGAAAGTGTGATCTAAAAAGAAATGTCTTCATGCCTGGTTCTTGGTACAAGATCTTCTTAAACCCTTGGAATTTCTTGAATGATGGGAGAGGAGTTTCTTTTGTTATTCATAACAAGCCCCTTTCGACCACACCTGAGTTTATGCTGAAGAAGTGACTTCATCGCTTCAGGCTGGGAGCTGTTTGCCCAAGGAACCAACTCTGTGATAAGAGGGTTAGAACTTTCAGTTCAATCCCCTGACCTGGGAGGGGAGAGGGACTAGAGATGGAAGTAATCACCAATGGCCAATGATTTAATCAATCATCCTTATGTAATGCCACCTCCATAAATGATGCAGTTCGGAGAGCTTCCTGATCAGTGAACACATCAAGGTGTGGGAGGGGGGCCTGCCCAGAGAAGTGTGGAAGCTCCACAGCCCTGCCCTCCCTCCACCCAATACCCTGCTCTATGAATCTCTTCCATTTGACCATTCATTTGTATCCTTTATAATGCCCTTCACAATAAACCGTCTCCCTGAGTTCTGTGAGCTGTTATAGAAAATTCTCGAACCTGAGGAGGGAGTCGCGGGAACCCCCAACTTTACAGCCGCTGGGAGGCCCCCAGGACATGCAATTGGTAGCTGACATGGGGGCAGCTTTTTGGGACTGAAACCTTAAGTTGGGGGCTCCGTATTAATTCTGGAGATACGGTGTCAGAATTAAATTATAGAACACTTAATTGGTGTCCAGAGAGTTGGAGAACTGTTTGGTGTTGGGGGGAAAAAAACGCACTCATTTGGTGTCAGGGTGTCCTGAATAGAAACAGCCTATGAAACAGATTTCGGAGCGTCGCCCACAGTGAGGCCCCCACCGGAACTGGGGCAGGACAAGGTAATCTGATGGTGTCAGAGTTCTTCGGCGGTAAGCAATCAGAAAGATTCTGATGCACTTAATTGGAAAGGACTTTGGAAAGGTCTAGAGTAGTGGTTGTTGGAGGCTGAAGAGCCAGGCCTCAGGAAGAAGGAAGGCTGTTAGCAGGAATGAAATGTTCCCCCATCAGAACTTCTAAGTTGCAGTGTTTTCTGTTATTCTCTCAAAGGCGCCAAACCCTAGGAACGGGTCTCAGTGGCCCGGATTGGGTTCTGTGCGCCAGTATCCTCCTAGTAGGAGGGGTGGGGGGAGAATCCTTGATTGACAGGCCCTCAGGACTTCTCAGAATGGGGAAAGGGTTAATTCCTTAATGGGAAATCAGGGTCCTTTTACCCCCCAAAGTGGAAAGGCATGTATGACAGGCCAAAGCAAAGATCCCTGGCATGCTGATTTTAGGCTCCACTGTTAAAGTGTAGAAAACCAAGGAAATGATTCCGTCGTACCCTTCCCTGGCCAGGACCAGGCCCAGTTCTGGGAAGCACACTGTCGGAGGCCTTTGACTGCTTGGGAGGTGTTCAAAAAGAGCAATTAAGACAGTGGCCATCTGGAAAACATGACACATAAGAAATGGTTGGAAGACGAGGGGAAGGAACCCCAAGAAGGGAGGACGGAGTGCACCTCTGCGGGCTGTTCTCCGATATCTGAGGTCTGGATGTAGAAGAAGAAAAGTTTTGTATTTAGTGGGCTCCAAAGGGAAGGACTAAAACCATAAGGGAACAGATTTCAGTTCTGTGTCTACAGGAAAGAGCTTTCCAAAAGATCAACTGCTGGAAATTAAATGAGTGGATGGAAGGCAGGGAACTTGCCATCCCCGAGAAACCTTGGTTCTTCAATTAGCAAGAGCAGTAACCGCACGCCTTGCATCGCCTTACAGCACACCAGTGGGTCATGGCCCAGCTTTTGAGCACCCCGACCTAAGGCTGTCAACGGAACAGTACTCTCTGCTTGGCCACCTCTGCGAAAGAGCGCTTTTCCACATGTGGAGTTCTGGATGTGCCCAGTGGGAGTGAGGATGGATAAAAAGGACAAGAAGGAGCTCCTCCGAGTATCCTTTCTAACCACTTGCTCAGGGACAATACCACAGGGAGCCCTTCATTTAGAGCATTGCTCCACTCAAGGACCTCATTTGCCATGTGTTGCATTAACGTGCATCCTTCATGCATCTCCCAGCGCCGACATCAAGCCAACATCTTGCTTTACCATCGAACAGTATGCAGCAAAATTTGGTCACGTCTCTTGGGCTATTCCTATTACTAGAAAGCTACCATATCGGTGTTGGAAGGAATTTTGTGGTCAATGAGTTTACAATGCTTGGAAATATCCAGTGGTGTTCGTGACAAGCTGATGTGTAACCTGGTCTTGATTTTTTTTGGACACTCACAACCTCCTAAAGTAGCACACAGCACTTTGGGCAGTTTCGGTTGACAAAATCCCTTCTCACTTTGGGGTAAAATCAACCCTCTGTCTGGCTATATCTATCAAAATCGAAAATGCACGGAGCCTTTGACCAGCCATTCCACTGTTAACAATTTATTCTACAGATACAGTCCACACAGGCTCAAAGACGCGTGTGCAAAGATATTCATTACAGCAAAGGGCTGGATATCATTTAAATGTTTAACCGGGGGACTGATTAAACAAATTATGGAGTATCTGTTGGGTGGAATATCAGGCAGCTGTTAAAAAAAATCAACTATTTTCACATACTGACAGGGAAGTCTTTACATTGGTTCTTTTTTTTACATTGGTTCTTCTGCCCCTGGCCATGTTGATTTGTGAGAAAAAGAAAGTGGTTCAATAATACATGTCACATTTATATAATCAAAAAGAAAGATACACATGAATATATGTTTAGGTTTTATCTGGAAAGATAATGGCAACTGTGCTTGCCCCTGGGAAAGAAAACTGTGAGACTGGGTATCGGGTAGACAGGAGAATTTTATGTGCATATGTATATGAATATATATCTAGGTATGTTTATATGTATATGTACATCTCTGTTGCTGTCTCTCTCTACCCAACCCCCTTTCTCTTTTGAAATCTTTTACCCTGTAAATAACTTAAAAAACATCTTTAAGGGGTGCCTGTGTGGCTCAGTCAGTTAAGTGGCTGCCTTTAGTTCAGGTCATGATCCCAGCGTCCTGGGATCGAGCCCTGTGTCGGGCTCCCTGCTCAGTGGAGAGCCTGCTTCTCCCTCTGCCTGCTTCTCCCTCTGCCTGCCTCTCTGCCTACCTGTGCTCTCTCTTTATCTCTCTGTCAAATAAATAAATAAAATCTTTAAGAAAAAAAACCCATCTTTAAAAATATGTCTTCTTAGGCAACAAAAAACAAAAAGCGACAAATGAGATTACATTAAGCTTAAAAAACTTCTATGCATCAAAGGAAACAATCAACAGAGTGAAAAAGCAACCTGTGGAATGGGAGAGAATATTGGCAAATCATATATGTGATAAGAGGCTAATAACCAGAACATATAAAGGAACTTCTATAAATCAACAACAAAAAACCCAAATAACCCAATTAAAAAATGGGCAAAGGACCTGAATAGGCTATTCTCCAAAGAAGATATTCAGATGGCAAGAAGCATATAAAAACATGCTCAATATCACTAATCATCAGAAATATGTAAATCAAAATTACCATGAGGTATCACCTCATGCCCATTAGGATGACCACTATCAAAAGAAAAGAAAATAACAATTGTTGGCAAGGATGCAGAAAAATCGGAACTCTCATGCACTGTTGGTATGAATGTAAAATGATGCAGCCATATGGAAAACAGTATGGAAGTTCCTAAAAAAATTAAAAATAAAATTACCATATGATCTAGCAATCCCACTTCTGGGTATATATCCAAAAGAATTCAAAGCAGGATTTCAGAGAGATAGTTGTACATTTATGTTCATTAGACCATCATTCACAATAACTGACATGTGGAAATGACCCACATGTCAATGAACAAATGAAATAAAATGTGGTATATACATACAATGAAATATTATGCAGCCTTAAAAAAGAAGGAAATTCTGTCACATGCTACAACATGGATGGAAGTGAAGCACATTATGCTTAGTGAAAGAAGTCAGTCACAAAAGGACAGATATGGTGTGATTCCCCTCACATGAGGTGTCTAAAAGAGTTAAAATGATAGAAAGTAAAAAGGTGGTTGCCAAGGGCTGGGGGGCAGGGGAAATTCGTGTTTATTTATTTTTTGTAAAGATTGTATTTATTTTATTTGAGAGAGAGAGAGCGTGAGCAAGAGAGCGAGCACAAGCAGGGGAGAGAGGCAGAGGCAGAGGGAGAAGCAGACTCCCCGCTGAGCAAGGAGCCTGATGCGGGACTCGATCCCAGGACCCTGAGATCCTGACCTGAGCCAAGGGCCTAACCGACTGAGCCACCCAGGTGCCCTAGAAATTCGTGTTTAATGGGTATAGAGTTTCAGTTCTGCAAGACAAAAAAGCTCTAGAGATCTGTCGTGTAACAATGTGAATATATTTAACAGTACTGAATTGTACACTTAAAAATGATTAAGATGGCTTAACAAAAAAACTGACCTCTTAAATCCTAGCACAGGGCCCACCCGATTCTACCTCTTAAAGCTGTACAAAATACTTTAATCTTTTTTCTACTACGGCAGGCCTTTCCAGACTTCTCCCAGGGCTTCTTAACCTGATGGCCTCTCTTCTAGGTTAAACATGTGCTTCTTTACACCAGTTCTGCCCCTGGTCATCTGGTCTTAACCCCTCCTCCGGCCCAGAACCCCCAGCTGAGCTGCAGCAGGATGGTGGGATCCTTGACACAATGAAGCTGTACCCTTGGGAAAAAGGCCTCACAGACACGCACCCCTGCCCCGGGGAGACCCTGTTCTGAGCACCCAGTGGGAGCATAGTGGTGATCTGGTGAGGATATCTCAGAGTGGGGTATCTGGGGAGGGAAGGACCTCACGTGGGGTGTGGACCAGAGGGGAACCGAGGCTGGGTGCAGAGGCAAGCTTTGCTAAGTGTGTGACACCCTGTGTTCCCTATACACGGTCATGAATTTGCTGGAATAAAATAGAAAAACCAGTATCGCTTAAATTCACATGGCTCCTTTATATACTTTTAAAAGCATTTTGCAGCTGGATTAAATTTGCTACTCATGGCAACTCTTTGAGGTAGGCAGTCAGTAAGTATTTTTCTCATTTCAAGAAGAGATGACAGCCAGAGGGATTAAGGACTTACTCTGTGTCCTTCCTGGGCTGACCCTTTCCACTCTACAGCCTGCCTTTGATTTCATGTAAAAACAAACAAAACAAGCAAAACAGAAACAAAAGCCAAAAAGACCATTTGCTCAATTGTCCTGAGTCTTACAATTTTGAAAGATGAAAATGTTTTCAGCAGAGGTAGATGCAATAGACCGCACTGCTTCCAGATCATGATGCAGACCCATGAGTGCCAAAGGCTGTTTGTGGGGCACCCTTGCGCTAGGGCCCTCACTGAGCCGGGAGAGCCCTGGGCCTCTTCTTTGACTGCGTTGGTGACAGTGGAACCTGCCTCCACCAAAGGGTAAGAGACCGGTTCAACTTCCTGCCCTGGGGAAACAGAAGTCCCCTCCCCATGGCTATATAAGAGGAACCAAAATATCCTTAGAGCCCGTCTGTGGCTAGGGCCCTACACAGGGCCCACGGGATCCCTCTCTCCTGCAGGGGCTGGAAAGCCAGAACGGTGGGAAGGCAGAGGGAAAGAGGGCCTCTGGCAGCCAGGATTAGAGAATGTGGGTATCCAGAAGCCTCCAGCAAGCGGGGGGTGTGCACATCATCCAGGCCCTGGCTGTTTCTCCCGGTCAGCACATGGCCCCGAGGCTGCACGTCTGCCTATAGTAACTCTATTTTCCCCCTTTAGGATGCTCTCCCTGGCCATTTTAACCTAATTTCATCAGGATAAACAAGTTAGGGAAGTAAAAGGAAGAGGCACAGAGGAAAATTTCCTTGCAGTCTGGAGCACCAGGGTCCCCAAGGGAATGAGAAAAGGGCTTCTCTTCTCGCACATAGAAAAAAGACATTCTGCTGCCAGAGACACTCCCTTCGTGTTCTAAACTGGCAAACTCTGGGCGAGGGAGAGGAAGGTGGAGGGGTTTCTGCAGGAAGTCTGCTTTCTGGCCTCTCGCTGATAGATCCAGGGACAGGGAATGATATTTAAAACAGTTAACAAGCGGGCCTGACCAATCAGAGCCTGAGTTCCAGAGCCAGCTCCTGGGGGCCCCCTGCTGGGCCGTAGGTTCCAATTCGGCTGCAGGACGGTGGGGAGGTGGGGTGGGGGGACCCCGGGGAGGGGCCGGGGCTGTGGCTGTTTTACCTACCAGTGCGGAATTGTTCCCACCCGCACACGCGGCGCGGCGGGGGCAGCTCGGAGCGGGCGGGGTGGGGGGTGCGATCGTGGTTGGGGGGGGCTCGGAGCCGGTGGTCCCGAGCGCCTCTCCCACCGCCTTGCGCCCCCTAAGTGCTTATTCCCAAGGGCAGCCCCCCCGGGGCAGAACTGTGGGTGTGTGTTCTCCCTCGTGCAGAGTTCCCGTGGTGCCCGACCGTCCTGGGGGTGCAGCTGGGCGCCCCTCTGCCCAAAGACATGCCCGCGTAGGTCTGACACGCGTAGCCCGAGCGGATCTCGCTTTCCCAGGACGGGTCCTTCTTTCTCTGGCTTTCTCACCCTCTCCTGCCAGGGGGCCAAGCAGCGGGAACGCGCCGGCGGAACGGATGCCTCAGCTCCTCGGGAATCCAGGGCTCTTCCTCTGTAAAGAGGGGGAGGGGGGCTGGGCTTCCAGAACCACTGACAGATGTCTGTGGGAAAGGGCTTCCACACCTGCCAAAACCGCCAGCTTCCTTTCTCCTTCTGGAGGGCTCGGGGTAACAACACGAGGGCGTTTGAAAAATGTGTCGTGTGCGCCGCGGTTTCCACTCCCCCCCCCCCCCCGGGGCCAGCTAGCTCATCTCCTGAGAGTGGAAAATCCGGCAGCCGAAGTTTCCTACGACCGGAGGCCAGAGGTGGCCCGAGAAGCAAGGTGCGCGCCCCCCAGGAGCCCGGCCGCTGAGGACCAGCCCGGATCACAGCACGGGATGGCTTAGACCCCTTGTCCTGAAAGGGAGACCGTAAAGATCCCTCTGGATTGTCACAGTCTAGAAAACCTCTGCCCCAGGGAGGCTTGAAATGGAGAGCTTCGTTTTATTACTTTTATTTCTGTACATATTATCTTCACTTTCAATACGTATGTATATATATGTATAGTTTACAAATTCACATGTTCACAAGACTTCAGAAGAAATCAGGAGACAGTAGCCTCCTGGCCTGTCCATTCTTATCTCCATTTATTGATTGCGGGAGCCACCAGCTGTCTATGATTTTAGTTGTACTCCGGGTACTTGCAGCCATTATTCCGGATAATAGGCTTATAAAGCTGTATCTTTGTTAGTTTTAGAACTCATTACTGACATTGCTGTGGAAGACGAGGGTTTCGCTTTTTCCTTCTCCCCCCGGACACAGGTACTCACACTCCTCCACTTCCCGACACAAGTCCTATATTTCTTCCCATCTTCGCTGCCATCCATTATACGGTGTAGCGTTATTTGTGAGTCACTACAAAAGAACGAAAGTGCTTTCAATTACACTATGATCCAACACCTTCTTATCACGTTAGCCACGAGATTCAGTTTGATTTCCAAGGTGTTAAAATGTGAAAAATATGTGCCTCGTGGAATATTATGAATTAGGGAGATATCGCAGTGTCTGATTAAATCACCTATCAGTATTTGCATTATTTTAACGAGGTGAATATCGTTCACAATGTACTATAATTACGTGTCTGCTCTTGTACATCTTTGCCCCCCCCCCCCTTGGAGCCAATGATTGTCTTGTCTAATTGTGTAGTGTTGGAGGGGTTATTTATGAGTAATTGACCCCCCAGCTCTCCCCAGTGTGGTGGACACATTGGTGATCTCTCCGAGAGGACATCTTCCTGGAGCTGTCTTCCTACTGCAAACTCAGCGCTGGTTCCTCCTGGGCCCACTGTACTTAGCAATCTAAGAGCCTCCCTTCAGCATCATCCTGAGATTTCTCTTGCCTTCTTTTCTATGTTGCATCCCCTATTCTCTGGAGCTCCTGTCTTCTTTCTTGGTCAGTTCTTTGTTGGAACACATCTTCCAATAGCTTCCTGAGAAAGGCCTGTGGCAGGTAAATGTTTGGAGACCTTGTAAATGTCTTTATGCTACTCTTGCACTTGATAGCTTGTCTGGATATATTACTCGACCTTGGAAAGAATTTTTCTTCATATTAGAGGCTTCTCTCCAATGTCAGGCCATCTACTGCCAGCACTAAAGGGATGTGTGCAAGGGTGAAGCTCCCTGTCCATGCTTCTGCAGTGATCTGGATGTCTCACGGGGGGAATCCTGCTGGGTCAGTGTCTGGAAGTCTTTTTCCTTGGAATGGTCCGCTTCCCTAGAACTGAATCATCCGTTCTTCTGCCCGTGGGGTATAAGCCTCATTGCCAGTGTTCTGGGAGCCAAGAGGGTGAAGGGGACTGTGGGATCTTGCAATCCAAAATGCAGACTCCTTGAATCCCATTTCAGTCATGTGTCACATGCTAGCTCTCAGTTGGGCTCACTGTCCAGATGATCTCTGATCTACCCTTTTCTCCCAGGGCCGGGCAGGGCAGTGACCTGGCCCCACAGGTGGAGGAAGATATGTGGGGAGTCTCATTGCTCCTTGCACAAATTTCAGCACACCTGCACCCATGTTCTGCGCAGAGGGAACCAATTTCAGTTTCTAAGGCTCTGTGCTGTAGCTGGCTTGCTCCTTACAGCCTTCCTTTTCTGTGGGCTAGGTTTTGGCTTTATCTTCTCTGCTAAATTAATTACCTCTTATTCATCTGCTTTTTTAGTTTCCAGAATGTTATTGACATTTTTTGTTTGCTGTTGTTTTTGTTCCCATCTTCTCTTTGTCCTTATGGGTCTAGACAGGGTGTGCTAGTAAGTGTTTGGCAACTGACTCTTGGGGGAAGGGGGAAGCTGATTTGTAGCAGTCCAGTTTCTGTGGTATAAATACTCCTACTGCAGCTCATTTCAAGCTACCAAAAGGACACCACTGAACATGCAGATGGGAAGAAATGCAAAGTAGTGCATCATTATATAATACAGTCTTCCTTGACTTAGAATGGGGTTACAGCCCGATAAACCCATTGAAAGTTGAAATTATTGTAAGTTGAAAATGCATTTAATACATCCTCATAGCTTAGCCCAGCCTACCTTAAATGTGCTCAGAACTCTTATGGTAGCCTACAGTGGGCAAAATCATTGAACACAGAGCCCGTTTTATAATAAAATGTTGACTATATCGTTAATTCATTGAAGCCTGTACTGAAAGTGAAAATCAGAATGGTCATCTGAGGCCAGAATGGTTGCCAGCGTGTGGGTCATTGACCCTCATGATCACGTGGTTGACTGGGAGCTTCAGCTGCTGCCCACCGTCACAGAGAGGATCACACTGTCCGCATATCACTCCCCAGGACAAGAGCAAAATGCAAAATCTGAAGTCTGGCTTCTATTAAATGAGAATTGCTTTCGTGCCATTGTAAAGTCAAAAAATCTGACATCAAAACTTCCTAAGTCGGGGACTACATTTCCATCCTGTAGCTACAATAGCCATAAACAGCAGACATTGGCTGACCTCAAGAGAGTACATAATGGTAAAATTATTATAAATGATAAGTTTTGAAAATTTATGAGCTTTATTTTTAATATAGTTTAAAAATTTTTAGGCGCGTATCATTTAGTTTTTTAAATGGCTGTATTTAACAACTGGCTCAAAAAATTCCTAAAAATTTCACAATCAGTTTTCACAACGCACTATCAGCCCGGCCCTAGTACCCCACTGGGGTAATGCCTTTCTAATGATTTAATTGTCATTTCAGTATAGTATTAAAAATCCGTTTTTCAATTTGCTGCTCTGCAGCATGTAATTACCTTTCCTCATATTTTGAGGTTTCCCCCCCCAGTTTTATTGAGATATAATTGACATATGACTCATGTATTATTAACACAATGGTCATCCATCCAAAATTCACATTATCCAACTGTAACTTCCCACGTGTGGTGAAGAAAGAATGACACCTCAGTGGAATGAGATGAAAACTTGATTTGAGGGGTAAAAAGAAGAGTTAAGATAAAATAAGGTGGGGTGCCTGGGTGGCTCAGTTGGTTAAGCGACTGCCTTCGGCTCAGGTCATGATCCTGGAGTCCCTGGATCGAGTCCCGCATCGGGCTCCCGCTCGGCGGGGAGTCTGCTTCTCCCTCTGACCCTCCCCCCTCTCATGTGCTCTCTCATTCTCTCTGTCTCAAATAAATAAATAAAATCTTAAAAAAAAAAAAAGATAAAATAAGGTGTAGGTAGGTCATCGGTACCCACGGGTGACACTCAGAGGGAAGTAATGTCAACACGATGAGGCATGAGGTCTTACTAGGACGAGGCAGTCACTGGGCCAAACTTTCTGTTCTAATTTCAGTTTTGAAGAAGACCATTTAGTATATCTACATTTCTTAGCAGTTCTCTGAAGTAGTGCCAACCAACTTCTTATTCCAGACACACATGGCCTTGAAGGGTCCATGTAGTAATGTGAGTGCTTGCCCAGAGCTTTCATTAGCTGAGCTCAAAGCATCTTACCAACAGTGCTTCATTAAGTCCCACCACACCCCACTGTGGGAGTAGAAGGGGAATATCATTATCCCCATTTTACAGATGGAAGAAACAGAGGCTTTGAAGCAAATCCACAACTGCTGAAACTAGCTTGTCGGCCTACAAATCCAGTGTGCTATCTTTTTTTTTTTTTTTAAGATTTTATTTATGTATTTGACAGAGCGAGACACAGTGAGAGAGGGAACACAAGCAGGGGGAGTGGGAGAGGGAGAAGCAGGCCTCCCGCTGAGTAGGGGGCCTGACATGGGGCTCGATCCCAGGACTGTACTGAAAGTGAAAATCAGGATGGTCATCTGAGGATGGAATGGTTGTCAGTGTGTGGGTCATTGACCCTCATGATCACGTGGTTGACTGGGAGCTTCAGCTTCACTTGATAGCTTGTCGGGACTCAGATCATGACCAGAGCTGAAGGCAGATGCTTAATGACTGAGCCACCCAGGAGCCCCTCCAGTGTGCTACCTTTTCATGACAACAGGATTTCGGCACTAACTTATATTTCCTGCCTCTATCTAGCCAGGTGAGGGTACAATTTTATTATCTGAAATTATCTGAAATCAGGGAGTTCCTTTAAGTCCTAAATTAT